GCGAGTGAGAGCCCGATCCAAGGAAAGCAGGTCGAGAGGTTCGGAGCCTCGCTCCTTGTCTCGGCCCAAATCCAAGGAGTTGGCGCTTTCACGTCCGCTGCTTTAAACACTTTCGTGCGTGAGACTGAACAGACTGGACAGTCGGCCGAGAGGATCAGAGCCTCGCTCTTGTCTTTGCCCAGTCATGTTCTGATTCCGCATGACAGGTCGTCTGAGAGGATCGGAGCCTCGCTCTTGTCTTTGCGATCATGTTGTCATGCGTGACTGTTTGCCGCCATCAGACCACAGTCCAGGTGGACGGTTACGGTTACCAGTCAGTCCAGTGAATACTACTACTACCCCGAACGGGGTGATATCATTGTCACTGTCATGCCTTTGGCAGATGTCGATGCTCTGTCAGACTCCGATGGCAAGGCTGCTGACGATGAAGGCGCGTCAGAGCTTGAAGAGCCGGCGTCCAAGCCCGAGAAGAAGTCCAAGGCAACGCCCAAGAACACCACCTCCAAGAAGGCGATGAAGAAGAAAAAATCAGCATCCAAAGACGCGAAGAAAAAAAAGAAGAAGTCCATGCGGACATCAGAGCCAGACGCCACAGAGTCAACGGCCTTGACGGCAGCGGGTGAGGACGAGGATCAAGATGAAGACGGAAACGAGTCTGAGGACTTGGGGTCCCCTGACGAGAAGCCGGAATCGGACGTCATCGCGGAGCAGCCGAAGAAGAAGAAGAAGAAGAAGAAGGCAAAGGCCCAAGCAAAAAGCAAATCCAAAGCCAAGGCCAAGGCCAAGGCCAAGGCCAAGGCCAAGGGCAAAGCACAGGCGAAAGTTAAAGCCAAATGTAAGGCAATCATGAGGCGGCCCTCGGCATCCTGCGAGAAAGGAAAAAGTGGACCACGCAAGGTCAAGAGGTACACGTACCTAAAGGAGCAAAAGGTCGGCATCAAGGTGGATGACCACGAGTGGGTCACGGCCTGCAACTCAGTCTGAGGCGTCACCTTGATTAAATTTGAAGCATAACAAGAAAAAGTCGAATCCATAGGTGAAGCTGATCCCGCAGCTTGGACCAGAAGTCCAGCACGAGATCGTAGCCCCGCGGTGGTTATTATTTGGTCTGATTTTATATTTAATCTTGTCCAGATTGTCATCCTGAGGTCAGCCTGACGTTTGTTAAGCGCGGCCTTTTTGCAGTATTAGCTGTAATAATAGTCAATCTCGTAGTAGTAGTAGTAGTAGTAGTAGTAGTAGTAGTAGTAGTAGTAGTAGTAGTAGTAGTAGTAGTAGTAGTAGTAGTAGTAGTGCCAGGAGGCTGCTATGAAGGAGTGCGAGAACTTCAACACCAACAAACAGGACATCAAGACGCTGGTGGTGCACGGCCTTAAGTTTGCATGCCATTCTTAATGTTTTTGCCCAGCGTGGGTCTGAAGTTCACAGCAACTGCCGGAACAGAAGCGCCTTAGGTGATTTTGGCAGAAAAACGCCTATTATATACTGCTGTCAGAATGCACATTAAATTATTATGCTTTTCGCAGGCCTACAGTACTGCTTGCAACTCTAAGGTATTGACATTCACCGTCCACTGAATGCCATGACGAACCTGAGGCAGAGATGACCAATGCCAAGCTCAAGGAGATGAAAAACAAGAAGAACTCCACTGCCGAGCCAACCGCCGCATTGCCCGACAAGGAGCTGACGGCCTACGATTATTACCAGTAACACCACACCTTTACTTTGTTGTTAGCTGTGACATGAATCATCCTGTATTGCCCCCACCAGGACGATGCTGATGATGATGACAATGAGAACAACGAGTCTGAGGACGGCGAGGCTTTCCAGGAGGATGCGTTGGTGGCGGACTGACGGGCCCGGCACTCCAGATGATGCACTGACTGAGCCACGGCAGGCGATGCTGCTATTCGTAGCAGGTTTAAGGGAAAAATGGCCGAGAGCTTCGGAGCCTCGCTCTTGTCTCGGCCAAAATCCCAGGAGTTGGCGCTTTCAGAGTCTGCCGCTTCGCTCTTAGTGCAAGCATGAGACCCAGAGAACACATTGACTGGAAAAGTCGGTGCCGCTAGACTTAAAATGGATTCGATTCATTCGTCATGTCATATGCCATCATACGACTGCTGACTACTTGCCAGACAGAAGTGAGAGAGACCTGGGACCAGGGAGGGGGGTTCGAGCCTTGGGCCGGACATTATGGGTGGTGGGCTCCTTTGATCTCACCTCCGATAGATATAGTATCCGCAGCGCGCTCTCTGCTCCGATACTGCATGATAATTTTTCCGTTACAGTTTAATTTATTCGGTGGCGAGGTATTTGATATTATTTACTCCTTGATACTAAGACCATGTAATATAATAATAATAATAATAATAATAATAATAATAATACTAATAATAATAATAATAATAATAATAATTTATAATCTATAATAATAATAATTAGTCAAACTCATTAAAAATTAGTAGACTGTCGTAACAGTACGAGGCTAAGCTTTTTAAAAAAATTAATAAATTTCATAGACCAGACTTTAATTTTTGCGATCAGCTTCAACATAAACGCCCTAATAACCCTTATAATATAGACCCTCGAAGTTAGGCCTAAGACTGACTGTCGAGTTTGGCCCAATGTCGGGAAGAATCTGCCCTTAAAGGCCTTAAGCCCGGAAAGTGTTTAAAATAAGAATTGGCTCAAACTTTGGCTCAATGCGACGACGATTGCCGCTACTACTTTGACATTTTTTTGCAATCGGCGCTCCCCTGGTTGATCTTTTGGGGGCGGCGCGGCGATGCCCCTTTATTATTCAAGCGATACCCTGGTTGATCTTTGGTGGGCGGCGCGGCGATGCTCCTTTATTATTCAAGCGATCCCCTGGTTGATCTTTGGTGGGCGGCGCGGCGATGCCCCTTTCAAGCTCTGCTGAAACAGGATCCCCTGGTTGATCTTTGACCCCCCGAATAGTACGAAAAAGCCTTTAGTGTAGGTCGTCCTTAGTTCTGAACTGCCCGGTCGGTCAGGATGCAATACCAGCTTTCCGACACGGATCCCATTCCGGAGCCGATGTACCAACGGTCGAAGCACAAGGAGCAGGCCCATCGTGTTTCGGCTGGGGGCACAATCATGTGTGTTACTGATAATGCCGGTCGGGAAGATGAGGTCAAACTTCTGTTGACCCGGTTCGTGGTCGTGCTGGAAGTGCAGGTCGATGAGTTCCAACTGGCTATGGAACAAGGGTCGGTCAGACCATGCACCAACGACGGCTTCGTCGTGAGGAACCTCGACTTGTCGGTCGAGAAGCACCTCAAAGTCACACGCATGGACGCCCGCCTCGAGGTGGAGGCGTTGCCAAGTGACGTGCCGGTCGACAAGCCTGCTTTCGTGTTCTACAAGATCTCCGATGATGTGACGGAGCTGTCGGTCGTGAAGAAGCTGCTGGCCAACAGCATGAACAAGCCCCGAGGGCAAAAGCGGCCTTCCTCCACAGTCGGTCGGGGTGGCACTGGATATATGTATTTCAGTAACCCGACGAAGGCTGCGCTGATGTGTTGGCTGGCAGGTGGCGGCACGGCGGTCGATGTGCGGCTGAGCTACTATGGAGTGGGCATGCTTCCAGTTGGACTCCTTCACTATGATGAAAGCATGTCGCCGGTCTGTGTGCTTTGGTGGCATTCGATTCAGTGATGTTGCAGTTGCATGATTTCTAATCCTGCAGTTGCAATCTACAGCATAAGCTGTCTGCTCAGGACTACTACTACGCGCCGACGCTTCCCCAGATGGGCGTTGAGTCGGTCGCCGCGGACTACAAGGTCATGGTTCAGTTCAGCAACAAGGTGCCGGTCGGTGACTTCGTGAAGTTAAAGAACCTCGAGACGCTGAAGGAATACATGTACCAGAACGATAAAGAGTTGGAGGAGCTGAACAGTCGGTCGTCAACTCTGCTCGCGATACAGAAGAAGCTGGTCGCAGAAATGGATGAGATGCTCGCCAAAGAGTCGGTCGTGGATCTGGCGGGCAAGACAACGGTGTCGGTCGAGGATCTGGCGGGCAAGACAAAGCAGCCACTCGTCATGGAGTCGGTCGAGGAAGATGTTGCAGGCAAGACAAAGCAGCCGCTCGTCATGGACCAGGTCGCTGAGTCTAGCTGATGTCCACCACGCCGGTCGAGTCAAAGGCCTTTTTCCTCACTCTAGCAGGCAGGCTGGCCCTGGCAGTTGTCGGTCAAATAATGACAGACCATGATCATGACGATAGTGTTTTCTGAATGCCAGATGCAGCCTGTCCTGCCAGCTGTCGGCCATGCCATGTGTGCATAGAGCCACAGTCGTCTGTCGGTTTCAGCAGCCAGCGAGACATGTGTTTAAAATGTGAAGCACGTGAGAGGGCATGCCAGTCGACTTAGTGTTCGAGATTGAGTGCAGCATACCTGACTTTGTTTGTTACCTGTTGGTTCTGTCATGTAGTCAAGTTGTTGACTTGGTAGCACAATGCATGCCAGTCTGGCGGTCCATGGTGCATTCCAGCGCATGGCACATGCTCTGGAATCCACTCTGGGCTGCATTTGGTTCGGAACCCCCAGGATCGGTTGCTAAGGCTTGTAGCCCCAAGTTACCAGTTCAGACATCGGTCGACAGCCCGAGCCAGAGATGACCTCCAAGGTTGAATACATGCCTTCACTAAGTTGAACCCAAAGGATGCTTTGCTAAGGCTTGTGGTCCTATCTTGGGGGTTAAAGTCGGTCTAGTGCTGCATCGTCCTAGGTCGGTCCCACTCTGACACATATGTTGCAGCACCTTAGCCGGTCGTGCATGCTCTTCCAGTTGAACCAGCAGAATAGGTTGCTAAGCCTTGTGGGCCTATCTTGTGGGTTCAACATCGGCAGGCCGGTCGATGATCTTGGAAGCACATCTCTGAGTGTCGGTCGTGCCGTTGCCTACCTGGAGTTTGGGCTTACAAGCCTTAGCAACCGATCCTCGGGGTTCCGAACCAAGTCGGCCGGTCGAGCCATGTCCAAGAAAGCAGGCACTCCTGCTTACGCGCCGGTCTACGTGGAGAGCAAGCTCTTAAAGCTTGACGACGTGTCGGTCGCCCATGATTCCGGCCATCGGGACGTCGATGAGGATCGTGTCCTGGAGTTGTATGAGAAGGTGATTTTGGCCGGTCGTTGGGGCCAGGCTTCGTTGTCCCGACCGAAGCTGAGGCCAGTCGAAAAGTTTATTTTCTCGTGCTTGGTAGTTCACTCTTGGGTTTCGCAGGTATGATCCTGCTGGTCGTCCTATGGCCGCATCTGATGGCCGGTCGAAGCTGGCAGATGGCAAGCACTGTATCGCAGCGTTGAAGATACTTGACGACGTGTAGTTTGTCGGTCCAATTCCACGTTCTGGTGTGCACTGGTTTGTCAGCTGGTCAGAAAAGAGTCGGTCGAAGTCCACGGTTTTCATTTCCCTTAATTTTAAATTACTTTCTGACCGAGGAAAGCTGCTGAGACGGTCGCTCAGTCCGATGATGCAACGCAGCTCGAGTGGTACACAGGTGAGATCAAGGACATTCTGACGGTCGGAATGCGTTTTGATTGCATCAAATTCTTGGATGATGATGAGGCCAGGGATGTGCAGTATGACTAGACACTCATGACGGTCACTAGTTACTCCTGTGTCAGGCGGCGGTCAAGCTCTTCTACACCATGGCCCATGAGCAGGAGGCCAACAAGTTGCGGACGACGTCGGTCGAGCACAAGATCAAACTTGTGCGTGCTTATGTCGCCAAAGTTCCTGGCGGTCTGATAAAGGACAGTCGGTCGACCACCTGTTTTGTTGCTGGCCCTGAGTCTCATCTGTCAGGACGCCGAGAACGCCATGGTGGAAATTTTGGGCAAGTCACGCCGGTCAACAATCCACAACTGGTGCAAAGCGACTGCAGTGTTAAAAGAGCCGGTCCTGATCAAGCTGAAGGAGAAGCCCGACCTGCCACAGGGACTTGTTTTCACGAACAAGTACTTCGTCGGTCAAGGAGAAGAGACACGTAACTCGGCGGCATGCCATGCTGTTAGGTTTTCCTGCATTGTTGGTCGCGGAATGCAGTTGGCTCAGGCTTCCTCCTGGAACCCGAGCAGCAGATTGCTGCTCTGCAGCTTTTCTATGACTTCTGTGACGGTCGCGGGACGGTCTCTTCCATACCGACCTTCATGTCTGACTTTTGTGCCCCAATGTTGAAGGCACAGTTGTGGTGTCAGTTGGTCATGAAGAAGTACGCGTCGGTCGTGAGCCGCCTACCAGCGTATGACCGCTGTCAGAAGATGCTGTGGAGTGAGCGTGGACGGTCGCGCATTTTGAGGCTTGCTAGCACTATGAACTATAACTGACATTCAGTGCCATGTCTCATTATTTTGGTGATGGGGTTGCCAAGGACGTGCATGCGTCTTGGCGTCGGTCTGTCTGGTGACCCGAAGATCGAGGGCAGTGGCATCCCTGAGTGTGTGTCGGTCCTCCAAGGGTTGAAGAATCTGGCCGCTGGTCGTGCAGTGGATGAAGCCGAAAGTGCTGTGGATGCGGCCAAAGCAACGGTCACAGAGCACAAGCTGGTCGTTGAGGGGGGAGACGACGAGTCTGGGATCTTGGCTGACGACATCACGATGGAGGCCCCACTGGTGGAGAAGGATCCTGTTCTTGAAAAAGCTGAGGAGCTCGGCTTGTCGGTCCGCTCCAACATTCATCTGTTTCATGACATGAAGACCTTTGGTGATGGCTTCGTCGGTCTATGCCGGGCGACGACCCGTGGCGGCATTTACATCGATGAGGCCACGTCGAAGGCCAAGATCATTTTGGGGGACATGGCAGAGTTGTGGAAGGTCGTCACGTCGGTCGTAGATCGGCAATACGTGTCCATGGGCATCTTCTGTGGAAAGCGCCACGACTTAGTGACGTTGGTCGTGAACCTTGGATGGCACAGAGTTCTTTCTAGACTTGTCGGTCGACTGCTGTGCTCAGCGTTGCTTCGGCTCAAGTCCAAAACGGCCGGTCGACCTTCATGGGTCGAATCAGTAACAAAAGCCTCGGGCTGAAGAGGGTGGCAGGGCCCTATGCCCGTTACTGTGCGACGGTCGCCAGGACAGGGACGGTCGACCCTCCATTGAAGCGCCTTCGAGTCAAAACCTTCTTGAAAAACTTAGATCAGAGCCGGTCGCGATGGAAGCAGATGCCAAAAAAGGAGAAACAACCCTTTGTGGACGCGGCGGTCAAGGATCACAGAAAGCACAACGCCCTCAAGAGGGAGCTCGCTCATCCTCCAGTGGAAGTCGACTCGCCGGTCAGAGACCCGAAGCCTGAGAATGATAGTGAGGTTCTCCTTTGAAGGCATGGCACTTTCCAGTCGGTCGACCCTGGGACAAGGCGCCCATGGCACAGTTTACCGCTGTGAAAACTTGATGGGAACGGAGTTCGCAGTGAAGCATCTTGGCTATTCATTTTATTATTAAGGTTCATGCGATTGAACAATCATGAATGAATGAACGAATGATGTCTTTGTCGACTTTGGGTTTAGTGCTGCATCTTGTCATGTCGAGGTTGCCGGTCGGCAGCAGGGACGTGAAGAGGGAGCTAGACGTTCTCCTCAGTCTACGCCACCCAACCATCCTGCATTGTTATGGGCCAGTCATGTCGGTCGACGGAGGTCTCGTGGGCCTTCTTTTGGAGTATGTGCCGGTGACATTGGACGCTTGGCTGAAGACGCAGCCCAAGGCCGCAAAGTGCCCACACAAATGGCATCTGATGGTCGATCTTGCACATGGACTCCAGTATCTGCACTGTCACAAGCTTGTGCACTGTGATGTGAAGCCACAGAACATACTTGTCGGTCCTGCCCCCCATGTTCGAGCCCGCTGGGCAGACTTCGGCCTCACTGAGCCGGTCGGGACAGCTGTCTATGGTGACGAGGTGTACTCTGCAGCGTACAGACCTCCGGAGCTTAGCGGGTCACAGGAACCCGGTCGTAGCTTTGCTGTAAGGGTGAGGTTGGCACCCACAGCTGATCTTTGGGCGGTCGGGTGTCTCTTGTTTGCGATCTTCACAACATCGACACTGTGTCATTTGTTTGTCACAGTGAAGGTGCTGTATGACATGTCCTTCATCAATTCCCGAATTGATAAGAACGTGCCGGTCGTCTCTGGCGCTCAAGAAGACATAAGAGCTTTCTTGAAAAAGCTGCCGAACGAGCGACAGCAGCTGAGGCTTTTCATTATTGCTGCAGAGGAGAAGTACAGACACCACGCTGGTCGTTGAACCGCCAGTCGTCGGGTGTCAAATTTCTGTGTGAAGGGGCATGCAGGAAGCCAAAAAAAGATTTAAAGCATCTGCAGTGGCAATCGTGGTCAGTGCAAGTTTTGGGGTGCGACAATCCAATTGGTCGGTCGATGCAACACTACAGCTAAGGAACCAGCTGCAGACGATGATCCCAAACCGTGAGGCGTACGTCATCACCTTCACTGCCGGTCCAGAACAGTCCCGGAATCGTCGACCGACTTACATGGTCTATTCACAGTCGGAGTTGTCGGTCTCTGCGAAGGAGGTGGTGCCGAGCCATGTGACTGTCAACAAATGCCGGTCATTTGCCTATGAGAAGTTACAGATGCGCTGCACCGACTACAATTGTGCCTTTGAATTAAATTAAAAGAATCCTTGAAACTAGACTAATGGCCCCACTGCCCACACTAACCCACACTCCTACTGAGGCAAGCTCAGGCCGTGCAAACCCATGACAGACATGCCGGCCCATCCCACAGAGGACCTTTGTGGGGGACAGGGCGGCAGGTGCAGGTCAGGTGCAGTTCAGGTGCAGTTCAGGTGATGAGGTTTTCTATATTGGTGCCATTCAGGTGCAGTTCAGGTGCAGTCCAGGTGCAGTTCAGGGTTTGATGTGGACGTCATCAATCACTTTACTGAATCTGGGAGGAGTTGCCGGTCAGTGACCAAGAGCAGCCAGAGGATAGCAAGACGTTGGACACCACAGAGGAAGCCGGTCCTGACACACAGGCGGTCGAAGCGTCCGTCGACAAGAAGTATCCTGTGGATTTGTGGTTGGTGGCCAAATGCTGGGATCACCATGCGTCGGTCGTGCGAGAAGTCTTCCGTGGTGATCAGTGCAGGTGGATGGCGGTCTCCACACGCACAGCCCATCCTTCCATCTTCGTTGGGGTCCAGTCGGTCGTCTCCACAGTCATAGGTATGGTTCGTGGGCCGGTCGAGCATCTTGCCGACAAAGCATGAAACGTGTGTCAACCAAAAGCTTTTCGCAGGAATGCATGTTAAGCTCAGGCACTCCATGGCACATGGCCGAGTCTTGCTCGACGACATGTGCACCGCCCTGAAACTGGATGAAGCTAGCCGGTCATTGAACTTGAAGCGCAAGGTGACAGACATCCCGTGTGTGCCGGTCTTTAACCCCTATGCAGCAGAGGGCTCAGTGTTCAAGCTGTTGGAGATTCCGGTCGAGAGCACCTGGCGAAATGGTGTTTTGGCTTGAGTTCTGACTGACCTTCATGTCATGCATTGATCGATTATGATAGGACGTGTGCAATTCCGAACTGAGGTATCAACAAGTCGGTTGCCAACTAAAATGACATGGAGAAGAAATGCAACGATCTCACACATGAGGAGCTGGTCAAGTATGACCTGGGATTGTCGGTCATCGATGGTCATGTTGCACTCATCACGACTGTCCCTAAAAAGGAGGGGGACTTGATATGCACATGCAGTGCTTTGCATTTCGACAACATGGCAAGCCTCTTGTCGGTCGTGAACCTCGCCAAGAATCCTGTGCTCAGGACGGACTGCGTCGGTTTGACAGAGGATCGCTCCTCGTCGGTCTGGTCACTGTTAATTGGGGCTGCTAGCCACGTCACCCCGCTCAGTAAAGCCGCAAAGCGAGCAAACGCGGCCTTCAACTTTGACATCAGCCAGGGCGCCTCTGACGGTCTCATCGCATTGGTCGTCAAGACACGGAATGGGTGTGGCATTGCTGCAAAGTCGGTCGTGTCGGTCGACCTGGGTCCAGACTATGATCCGCCACCTGGCTGCGATAGTTAGGTTGCTGTCGAGTCCATTGCTTGCTGATGCAGCACGTTTATTATTACTCTGACAGGTCACAAGCCACGCCGGTCGAGCTCGCTGCCAGCAAGAAGCAGTTCATGGATAAGTGGTTTCAGGAGCCTGTGAATGAGGCGCCGGTCAAGGAAGAGACAACAGTGGAGCCAGCTGGCAAAAAACCCCGAACCTCAGAGGCCAAGGCCAAGCCTTCGCCGGTCGCACCGGCTCCGGTCACTCCGGCTCCCGCTACTGGTCCAGTGCCGGTCGACAAGCCAGCCCCGTCTGCTGCAGCTGAGACTTCGCCGCCGGTCGTCAAAGCTGATGTAACAGCCCCGGAGCCGGAGCTGAACCCTGCGTCGGTCGCCAATTTCATCGTGGGTGATGCCACGTTTCGCTTGGACTTGCAGAACTTGAGGATCCTTTTGCCGGTCGGAACCTCCACCAACAAGAGGCTGCCTCCAGGCACAATTGTGTACACTCTGGATTGCAGCGCCGGTCGTTTCCGCAAAAACTCCAGTGCTGTCGGTCTGGAGTACAAGCTGACCTCTTCGAAGGACAAGGTCATTGTCAATGGGAAGCAAGTGACGGTCGCAGACGCGGTCGCCAGCCTCAAGTCGAACTCCGTTTGGGAGCACATCCCGCCTTCCTTCACCCAAGGTTCCCTCCCATCGGCCGGTCTGAAACCTAACCAGCAGATGGTTTGGGTTCCAGGAGATGACGCGTCGGTCGTGATGGCCCAGCTCAACAAGGCCACGGATGCTTCTTGGAGGTGGGTGATGAAAAATGGCAGCAAAGGGAGTCTCACGCCGGTCAAAGCTTGCCTAGTGATCGACAAACAGCTGATCATTCCCGGCAAGCCGGGACATCTCGGCTTGCTTGTCGGTCGCGAAGTCGGTCACTGAAGTCGGTCGCTGACAACTATAACTATCCGCATGTTAAGTCTGCCATCGGGGATAACCCGTCGACAGAATTGTTTTCCCACTTCACGCGGATTTTTTGCTGATTCGTCGTCCGACGGTCGACTCTGCCATCGGGGATAACCCGTCGACACAATTGTGTGCACACTTTGTGGAGTTTTGCTGATTCGTCCGACGGTCGACTCTGCCATCGGGGATAACCCGTCGACAGAATTGTTTTGACACTTTGTGGAGTTTTGCTGATTCGTCCGACGGTCTGGGGCTCTGTGGCAGCATCAGAAAAATGGTTCATGGTGGAAGATGTGTCGATTCTGATTCTGATGATGACACCACAAATGTCATTTCACCCTGCTCAGGTTCTCTGTCCGATGACAGTGGAGAGCAGTTCCATCCCCGCTATTTGCCCAGACCCCAGCTTTTCATTCAACTGGCAACACTTGCAGAGAGGACAATTCAAGAGCCAGTATCAGACTGGAGGTGCACAAAATGTTCTTGACTTCGCGCATCATGCCAGCCGGTCGCCAAGGCCTTGCCAGGGTCCCAGCATCCATCACATTGAGACTAAGAGCCGTATTGTGAGATGTGAAAGGTGAAGCTGAGAAAAGTGTTCTTGGACTTTGCACAGTTTCTCAGTCAGTCACTCAGCCAGGGCTTCCCAGTGTTTGTCAGACAGGCAACCGAAAGTGCTTGATGCAACTGTGCCTGGACGTCATCTCATTCTCCAGAACTGACAGACATGAGGAATCAGTAAAGCAGTTTGGCCAGCACACCTCACCCAAAACGCAACCCATGAACCTTTGCTGGGGTAGAGTTGATCGCCATCCATAAGAGCCATGTCTGACGGAGCCATGTCTGACGAGGAGTTTGTGCCTTCTTTAAGGTCAGAAACCTCCGAGTCGGTCGCTTGCACACAAAACTTTGATTCCTCGTCAGCCGATGCTGCATCCGAACCCAGTGTTTCTGACAGCGAAGCCGAAATGCCGGTCGAAGATGAAGTCGACGGTCGCCTTTGGCGACCAGGGGAGAACTGTGGTACGTTCGTGGACAGACATGCTGCCTTGCAAGGCCAAGGCCAAGTTTTGTCGGTCAATGTCATGACCAACCTTCAGCGCTGCCCGAAAGACGTCTTGTCGGCCGTGATGAAATACATGCCGGTCAGGCTGGGTCTTCCAAATCCAATATTTTATAGATTTATCAATTATCATCTGCATTATTTCAGTTAACTAATTTAAGTAATTGATTCAATACAATAACTGCTGCCTGAAAGGAAGTTTGCTGGCAAATCACTGGTCGAAAGGGTAGCAGCAGCTCTATTGGGTTTGGGAACCACCAGCGTAGAACGATCCATGCAGAGCCGGTCGAAGCTTGAAGAGTTTGAACGCGAGAAGCTCAAAGAGAAAGAGAAGGAGGGTATACAAAGGAAACAGAAGGCCGTGTCGGTCGACAAGGAGCTGTCACTGGACACAGTAGTCGACATTTGCCTTTCCAACGCATCCGAAGGCCGGTCCTTCCTCTCTTTTGAAAGAGATGCCGAGAGGAACCGCCGGCGTGGAGTGCAATTGGGCCATTGGCCTTGCAGCCGGTCGTTCTGCCGCGAGGTGGAGTTCTATGCCGCCAGGGCATTGCAGAATTTGGATGCGATGGATTTTCAACGGCTGGTCGTTGGCCTAGGCATTCCAAGCGACTTCTGTGCTTTGCCGCCAGATTAGACAGTCGATGCTGCAACTGTGTGTGTGAATCAGTGATGTGGCTCATCTCACTAAGCAAGGTGTCATGTTGGACTCCATCTCCATTGGCAAAGAACAAATGCTGAAGCGGGACAATGTGTTGCTGGTCGGACTGTCGGTCGTGAGCCAAAGCACAGGCTTCCTCTTCATGTCCAAAGCATCATGGCACTAGCCGGTCACCTTTGTGTCTTCTATCTATTTTTTCACAGAATAAATTAACAACTAATAATTTGCCACAGGTCGTGCTTACACACCGATGGTTGGCGGGAAGACTTTGGGTGTCGGTGATCATGCAGGCCCACAATTGAAGAAGGTCGCGTTGGAGATTCTGGAGGAGCACCCTGCCCATTTTAGCAGCCGGTCACTGGCGGCATCTTTAGCCATGGTTGTCGGCGATGGCGCCAATGCCATGGGTGGTCGGTTGGCTCGGCACAAGAGCACAGCTTCGGCGGAACTGATATGGTCTGAAGTTTTCAATTCTGTTTGGGATGGAGACCCTGTGCCGGTCATGACGGACTGGGGCCTGATGCACCGTGAAGCATAGCTACAAAGCAATAGTTGTGATAATCAAACGATATGTTCAATTGTAATATGTACACACTGTTGGTCGAACTACGAAGGAACAAACCGCACTGGATCGGGCAATCAAGTCTGTCGATGCAGCTACAGAAGTTATGGACATCGTATCTGTTTTGGACAAGACCTTTTTCATGGGCGACGGTCGGGCCTTGCTGCGAGGAGTTTCGAAACAAATTGGTGAGCCGGTCGGCACCCTGGGAGCACCTGGCGGAACACGGATGTTTGTATTTTTCCGTTTGTCGCTTTTGAAGAATTTCAGGCCGGTCGTCACCGCTATGCATGCAAGACTGGCTTGGAAGCAGCAAAAGCACGGAGCCCGAAGTCTGAGAAATTTGATGGACGTCGGTCGCCGTTTGACAGACGTGAGCTTTGTGGTGTTCCTATCTTTCTTGGAAAACTTCATGCCGGTCGCCTTCGAAGCTTTTTCTCAGGTGGCCCAAAAGGCGGTCGAACCTTCAAAACTGCAAGCAAGTGCAGAGAGATCGCTGCAGTACGCCAGACGAGCAAGCACCTCCATCGACAGACTGAAGACCTACGTGACGGTCGCCACCTTGTTGCGCCAGCACTGTTCCAGCAAGCAGATCATGCAGTTTCTTGCAGCCCTTTGCTACACACCAGCTGGTCGCTTTTTGCCAAAATTTCTTCCTGGAATCATGAAGATAATGCATGTACTGCCGCCAGAGTTCTCGTCGGTTACATTGCACACCAGCAGAGAGCCGTCGGTCGAATACTATTGCTTGGGCCCACATTGCCAATGTCTGGGCAGGGAGAAATATTCTGAGACGAGGCCGAGGCCAGTTGTGAACTGGGATGGACCACGTGGAACCCGTGAGGCGTGACATGCTGATGTTTCTGGTCGGGCGGTCGGAGTTTTGGTGTTACTTCATTCATTCTCTTCGTCTGTCTCAGAGAGATGAAGCCCCTGCCGCCCAACCTTAAATCATTAAACATGAAACACACCCTTCAAGGTGCGTGTGCCGGTGTGGGCTGACGGTCGAGCTTCGTTGCAAGATGACTTCTACGAGCCACGTGTTCAGTTTCGTAGTCGAACACGGCAGCTTGGAAGACAAGAAGCTCGTCGATTTCGTCAACATTTGTGGGAGGATCGGACCGATGGTTGCGAACACGCAGAATCCACTTGGGCACAGGCCGGTCGTTGTGTATGCAAATGGCGGTCGCGGTGTGTCATCCCAGAGAAGGTTTATATCGTGCACCATGATGTGATTCAAGCACTGGACAGTGCAAAGACGCTCGCCGGTCGTGCCACAGAGGAGATGTCGCAAATTCTCGGGCCGGTCGGTGTCAATGATGATGTCTTGCAGATCCGGTCCAATGCAATGATTGCGTTTGACTGGGAAGGGTTGATCGGCGGTCAAGCCCAACCTCGGCACGGAGATGCTTTCCTGAAACTGTATCAGGCACTCAGGCCGGTCCTAAGGCACACACTTTGGCCCACGGGCCCTGAGTTTCAAGGTGTCGAACATCGATGGGATTTGCCGGTCGAAGACATGAAGGCACAATATAGACTGTTCCTTTCTCGTGTTCTTGCAGCAGCATTTGGGAAGGACTGTCGGGTGCCGCCGGTCATCAGAGCAGAGGCTAAATCATGGTTTTCCGTTACTGCTTGCACTGTGCGGCCGGTCATGGTCTTCTCCGCTGTGGCGGCCATCGTGCAGCAGAAAATGCCCTATGCTTCAAGAGCTGGACAGCTGTATTGTGCGTCTGTCGTTTCACTTTGTTTGGGATCGTACCAACAGCAGCAGCTGCCTGTGTCTGCGTATGAGACTTTCCAGGTTGCCAGCGACGGTCGCTTGCAATATTCATTCAGTTGTAATTATTTATTAGTAAAGACATGATCAATTAATACAGGTTGGAGTGGAGTGTTCTGCATGATTGTTGGAAATGGAATGCAACAGCATTTGGTTTGTGTTTCCCTTATCATAGTTCTGAGGACTCGCGCAGGTCGGAAGTCTCACTGTAAACAGACGGAAACGCAGAAAGACAGGGGCGGTCATAGTTCCCACAAAGGGACTCGTGGCGGTGCTGCCACCGGTCTGCATTTCAGATTCAGCCTAGCCAAGATCCCAGACTTCCTTTGCTGACAATATATATGCGTCCATATCTATTGTCGGTCTGAGGAAGTCTGGTATCTTGGCTAAGCGCTTGGTGGTTGTGACCGAAATGAAGGTCTCGGTTGATTCTGTGGCAATCGCTAGATCCTTGGAAGCACATCCTTGGTTTACAGTTGGTCGATGCAGAACAGACCCAAAGTGCTGGCATGTCGGTCGCTTGCATCATCGTACTCGGCTGCTGGCAGCACCTGAAGCTGCCATCGAGCGCCTGGGTTCCATAATGAATTACCAGTACGATGCCTGTGCTGGTCTTACCCCGGCGCAGGCGGTCGATCGCCTGCTCTTGGATCTCTGGAAACACATAGTAAAGTATTTGTTTAGTTCTAGTGTTGATTCATCAATTATTCAATGTATTTTTGATTAGACAGAGAAAAAACACGAGCCTGAAATTGCCTGTCTGAGGCCCAAGGTGGGCTGCACATGCTGGGCTCGGACCGCGATGAAATCCTCAAAGCTGCAGTCTGCCGGTCGATCATGTCGGTCCGCAAACGAGCCCGAGGAGGAGGACCCACTGAGCAGATCCGCCAGAAGAACAATGCTGTGCGTCTGTCTGGACGGTCGTTTGAAGAGCTTTCTGGGCACAGCCGTCAGGACATGGCAGAACTGCTGGATCCACTGCTCCCACAAGACATCGATGGTGGATTGTCGGTCGTCTTGAGGAACATTCAGCAGCAACATTCTTCGTCATTGCCGTGTGATCTTCCTGATGTTCTCCAGCAAGCTGTGCAGAAGGCGGTCGTTGGCGGGTCATCAGCCTGCACATAGTATTAGTTTATTATTTGACTCAATCATGACATGTACTAATCAAATGTAAGGAATCAACTTAATTGTTAAAAAAATACAACTCTACAGTATTCAAGTTGACTGGAAGGACCAGAGAGCCAAGGAAAGTGCAACTGCTGCCAACCTCAGTGCAGGTCCTGCACGCTCAGCAGAAGTCGGTCGCCTCCTCTGTTATGAGAGACTACTTGAAAGAGTGGCTGGAATCAGAGGATGGCAAGAAGTACCAAGCCAGTCGGGCTAAGCTTTGGAAGTGAGCTGGTCGCTGCTGAGAAAAAATGCCGACGATGTTGTGAACACTGCATTTGTGTACCAAGATCTAGCTCGGTCACTTTTCGAGTGAGTCACGTCACCCAGGCCATGACTGGATCGCCGGTCACTGCTGCACAAAGGACTGGGCCGTGTGTTGCATATGAAGCACTAGCTCGGTTGGTGATCATGTCTTTTGCAAAGCACCAGGCCATCATGGTGCCCAAGCTGCAGAACCATTTTGCTGTCAGCAAAGTGGTTCTTCAGGTTGGGCACTAGGTGCTTCAGTGGTCTCGTCGGACCCCCAGCTGTTTGTTTGCTGCACTCCTCCTGATTTCTCTCACATGTTATCTTCAGTCAAGCAGGCCGGTCAATGCCATAAGATGAAGATCCGAAGCAACCCTGGCCCACGACTGTCCGGCACTGCCGGGCGATCGTGGATCCGAGTTGCTTTGCATCTCCAGCTGGTGGCATGTTGGAAGCTCAGACCTTCTTTAGTAACCTGACCGTCCTGTGATTAGCTCGTACAATGACAAAGAATCAGAGCTCATGTGGCCCAGGCCGTGGTTGCCGTGCTGGTCGCTGCCACTGAAAGAAAGACAACGAGGCGATGTGTAAGCCCTTTGTCGGTCGATCACAAGGCGATGCTGTCACGATGGCATGGCCTTCTGCTTGACTCTGTCTGAGTGACTTGCCAGCTGTGCTTCAGCTCTTATAGCATCATCGACTACACATCACTTAGAGAGTTTCTTGCAGCCGTGGTCGTGTCAGGGAGCAACAAGCCTTGGGACTGAACAAAGCCATTGCACGGCAGCATCAGCGTATCATCATACCTATAATATACATGAGAACTTCACTTGAGACTAGACTTTAGACATGGAGCAGATGGAGCTCCTTTCGGAGTCTGAGTCCATGTCGGTCGACCTCCAGATATGTTCAGACAGCGAAAGCTTGAAGAGCTGGTCGCCGGATGAGAGTGGGTCGGAGTCTCTTCCGGCGTCAGATATGCCAGATATTGACGTGGATCAGGCAAATGCGACGCCGGTCGCAAATTTTGACACCGGCATGGCAGGTGCCAAGCAGTGGCCTGAGATCACGATGATTGCTTTAAGTCGTATTTTGTCGGTCAAGCAACTTCAAGGCATGGCTGTTGTGAAACCCATCGATTAAGAACCGTTTATTAATTATTCTTGCAATCGTCATAATGCTAATAAGTTATCATTATCAGAGCAATAGTAATAATAATCGTTATCAGTTTCTGAGCACCCTGACCAGGTTCCATGCTGGCTGGCCCAATCCGTGTCAGTACACATTTCTCAGGTGTTGGATGTGCTGAGCAGGCGGTCGAGCGTGTGCACAAGGCCTTCCAAGAACTTCTTCTGTGTAAGTTCACCACGCGGGCGGTCGCCAAGAGATCGACGCTGCAGTTCGTGTCTGCGTGTGACGTATCACGGGTCACGGGCCTGCCAGAATCTTTTGATGGGTCGGTCGGAGCATGTCTTTGGAGATATCAGGGATGCCTTTCCGACTCTGGAAATGCTAGGTCCTGACCGGCCGGTCGCAGAGCGGTGGGCACTGGCCAAGAGAGCAGCTGCCAACGTCCCAAGAATATGTCGGTGTCATGTTGCATGCCGGCCACCACCCGTGACGGTCGACATCAGCGGTAGCCCATGCCAGCCATGGTCGAGAGCTGGACAGAAGAGGCGCTGGACCGACGGTCGGTCTGACCTTCTCCTGCTATGGGCAGCCCTTATGTTGAAGCACGAGCCGCCGGTCATACTGCACGAAAACGTGTCTGGCTTTCCCACGTCGGTCCTGGAGGATCTCATGCAGGAAAAGTATGTCATTCATCACTTGCGGGTCGAGCCACACCATGTGGGCTTCACCTGTGTGAATCGACCACGGGTATATTCCGTGCTAGTACATCGGTCGAGAGCGTCGGTTGCCGATATCCCGACGGTCTACCATTTCGCGACAAGCTTCTTCAATTCCGTCGGTGGTGGACTGTCCATCAGAGATTGTTACATAGGGTCGGTCGAGGAGACTCTAGAAGAGGAGAACTTCTGTCGCAGAGCAAAGGGTTTAGACATGGTGCAGACGCCAAGCCGGTCGTGGGAATGTCTGCTGACTGAGCAGCAGCAGAAATACTTGGCAAAGTACCGTGAAACTTGGCAGCAGTGCCGGTCTGACAAAGAGCAGGAGCCGGTCTTTGATCTCAGCCAAAACCCTGCACGTTTCCTTAAGATGACTACAAAAGATGGTCGCTTGCCAACTTTCCGCACGAATACGAAAATTTGGGTGGATGGTTTGAGCCGATGGCTTCTGCCGGTCGAAATGGCAGCAGCAATGGCAATGAACTATGGGGTCCTGGGGCAGCCCAACCGACAGCAGGTCGGCAACGGAATGCATGTGGCCAACTGTGGAGTAATGTTGGCGGTCGCCTTGGCCTGTACGCGTTGAAGAACAGTGCGGTTAAAAAAAATGCAGTGTGGTGCAATGCCCAATATCTGATTGGCACACTTGCTCCATGATTCATCCTGTGCCACGTCGGTCGTGCCTATTTTCAGTCAATCTTAATTAATGTCGTTTGCTCATTGCCAGGCAGACGTGGTGAGCCCTCCTCTGAGAGCAGGTCGACCAGGTGGATGACATGGTACGACCATGCCGTCCAAATGGTCCGTGGCTGCTGGTTGGAAGACCAGACACAGTGCCGGTCCTTCAGCTTCGCTGAATCTTCACTTTGCGTGCCTCCTGAGTGTACAAAGGAGTTCTGGAGCCGTGGGGCAGCTCGAATGCGAATCCCTCTGAGAGGTGTTCGCATTGGAGCTGCCCCACGGTTCCCAAGCAGCTCAACGAGAAGGCTCTGTAGCCTACAGAGCCTTCTCGTTGAACTGCTTGACCGAGCATGTTCGACATGCTGATGTCAAGGTCATGTCATTGAAAAAGTTGAGTTCATGTTATAGGCGTTGTTTTCACACAGCCGGTCCATCATGTGGCTGGACGATTGGGCCAATCGTCTCAACCACAAGCCGATGGACCGGCCGCCAGGTTCGGAGATGGCCTTGACAACGGTCGTAGACATTGAAGCACTGGGGTGTGACCACATCGCTTGCCGGTCGACTTCCGTCCCGGTGCATTCCTGAGCTCGCCGGTCGACTTCGGTCTCGGCGCTCAGCTTGCCGTGGCCTTATGGTGGAGCGCAAACGAAACAGTATTTTAAGTTCATGGTGTTAGGCGTTGTTTTCACTCAGCCGGTCCATCATGTATGTGGCCTTGACGGCGTCAGTGCAGCCCAGAAGAAAAAAAAGCTCGAGGCTCGAGCTCTTTTTTCTTCTGGGCTGCACTGACGCCAGGTCCCTGCTCAGCTTTGCCGTGGCCTTATGGTGGAGCACATTCAGTGGGAATCCCACTGAAGGTACTCCACCATACGGCCCCGAGCTAGGAACTCGATTGTGCAGAATCAGGCGGTCGACTGCTCAAACCGTGGAAGTCGGTTGTGCGGAAAAAGGCGGTCGACTGCTCAAACCGTGGAAGTCGATTGGGCGGAAAAAGGCGGTCGACTTCTCAAGCCGTCTAAGTCACGACCCTGTTTTTTGGTTTATGCCAAAGTCGTACAGCTCAACCCTGTAAAACCCTAAAGAGTGAATCCAGCCGAAACCTTCGAAAACCCTGAGGAGTGCATCCAGCAGACACCGTTGGCCGAAGACGAAGACCCAAAGCAGAATGTTCATAAACCACAAGAAGTTATTGGCCTGGTGCCAAAGAAGCTACTGTATGACCAAGATGCGCTAAGAGAGCACAAAACAAAAGACTCAGTTTAACAAATCCATGTGCTGTCGACAAAGAAAGGAGGAAGGAAGATGCATGTGAAGGGGAAAATGCAGCCGCAGCAAAGGAAGCGCAGATGGAAAGACCAGAATCAACACGAAACTAAAGACCCAGGTCAACAGATTCTAAAGACCCAGGCCAGCACGCTCCCCTTGACGGGTGACAGGAGTTGTTCTGGCAAGTGCTGGTCTCCTGTGGGGCTGCCTATTCTGAAGCTTGAACTTGCAACTCCAGCAAGCAAAACTCCAGCCGGCAATCATGCAATTCAATCCACCTTTCGTGACATTGAACCCGAGTTGCCAAAGAATACTACTTGTTATACTGGGCCTACGTTCTTTAGCTTCAGAAGCTGTTCATATCCTCAATCATGGGTTCTTCTCGACGAGCTCACTTTCATTTACCTTCACGTGGATGTATAGTAAAATCGGGTACATAATGGTTCTATGTACCAAGCTCTTGCCTCAGATGTTTTCGACTTGAAGTTTCAGCTCCTGTCTCGAAGGTTACCCCGTTCACAGAGCTGCTCCGCAGTGCAGAGCTGCAAGGGTCTCAGAGAACGCAGACTTCGAAACCTCGTTCTTCAAGTTTTGTTGGGCCTTTTGATCTTGGGTCAAGGTGTTTGAAGGGGCTACGTGCTTTGTTTTAGAGATGTTTAGAGTTCCCTCAACGACTCCAGGACGTTCGTTTCGCTTACAGGTGGTTGCTTTGGAGGAATCACAAGCTAAACTCTGGGAGTCGCCACCCGAGGAGAAGCTTCTTAGGAGCACGCAGACTCAAGCCATCCAAGCATCAAGTTTCACTAATGACACGAATGGAGGAACTGGGTCTGGAAGGTGCGGAGGTTGGACTGCAGGAGCCTGATCAAGAAAGACCCAAAACAGCAGATTAATATGTCCCTAATACGAATCCTTGTTGAGAACAAAGGTTTTCTTGGCTTGCGCAGACATTTGCGTGCGTTGGTTCCGTCTCATGGGATGGCGTCAGCATGGAAGACAGAGCTTGAATTTCAGGCTTTGGTCGCTTTGGAGTTGTTGAAGCAACAATGTTACGGGAAGGAGCAATAGGAGGAGGACGAGGAGGAGGCGGAGGAGCAGGAGGAGGAGGAGTAGTAGTAGTAATAGCAGTTGCAGTAGTGGTAGCACTATTTGTAATTGTAGTAGTAGTAGTAGTAGCAGCAGCAGCAGAAGTAGCAGTAGTAGTAGTAGTAGTAGTAGTAGTAGTATCAGTATCAGTATCAGTATCAGTATCAGTATCAGTATCAGTATCAGTATCAGCATCAGCAGCAGTAGCCGTAGCCGTAGCGGTAGCAGTAGCAACAGCAACAGCAGCAACAGTAGTAGCAGCAGCAGCAGCAGCAGCAGTAACAGTAGCAGTAGCAGAAGCAGCCGTAGACGGAGCAAGAGCAGCAGCAGCAAGAGCAGCAGCAGCAGCCGCAGCAGTAGCAGATAGTAGCAGTAGCCGGAGCAGGAGCAGCAGCAGGAGCAGGAGCAAAAGCAGGAGTAGCAGTAGCAGCAGCAGCAGCAGCAACAGCTTGTTGCTGTTGTCGTCGGAGTCGTCGTCGGGGTTGTGTGGTTGTTTTTGCGTTTGTGGTTGCAGTTGCGGTTGCGGTTGCGGTTCCTGTTGTTGTTGGTGGTAGTGGCAGTGGTGGTGGTTTCCGTGGTCGTCATCGTCCTGGCGTGGTGTGCGTGTGTCTTTTTGCTTTCGGTGCTGTTGTCGTTGTCGTCGTCGGGCCGCTGCTGCTGCGGCTGCTGCGGTTTTGCTTTCGTCGATGCTGCAGCAACGACGATGCAAAGTACGACTGCCATCATACTGTACCAACAACGACTCTGCGTCTTCCCCATGGCAACCGAAAGTGAAGAAGATGTGTGTCAAAGCCAAAGTTCAGAGACACTCCCTCGAGGCTGCAAGCTCATGCAAGCCCGCTCATCCCCGAAGCTTCTCAGAGACGTCGAAGCCTCTGCAGCTCTCAACTGCAGACTTGCCAAAGACCCGCGGCAAGCGGCCGGATCATGGCCTCTGGCCAGTGGGATCGCCAGGCTTCGCCTTGCTCTTGAACAGGGTGTAGGATAGACGATTTGGACGAGTTACGCGCCCAGCTGCCTGCCTCAGACGGAGTATCCGATAAGAAGGTACAGCTTAATTATGATGTACGGATGACAGTTTTAATTTCACGTTACATCAGTATCCAAGTGTGTGGCCTTCGAAGGGTTTCCGACACAAGGGAGACCATCTCGGACCCGCATTTGCCCTAAACCCAAAAAAAAACAGGGCCTCTCTGGCAGCCGCAGACTGCTGAGCAGCGAGCTTGGCGGGCAATGACCGGCTCTGCGGCCGCGCGCCCTGAGATTCAGCCATGTTTTTGATTTGAAATTCCGGGCTGCTGGGGTGGTTTGGGTTTGGGGCAGGGAAACTTCTCTTTTTTCGGAGTTTAGGCAGTCCGTTTTGTCCCGATCGAAGAGATGATGCCGTGGTGCAGGTCCGCGCTGCGGCCTCTGTGCAGCTGACCAGAAAAGGTGGCATCTGCTCGTTGAAGCTCAGAGCGGGCTTGCTCTTCGTGACGGGAACTCTTCCCGTGGTTCTGTACCATATAGGTTTGCAATTTGCAGATGATGTTGCAAACAGGCTAGCAGTTAGCACACTTTGGGCTTTTTGGCCCATTGTGAAGGTGCAGCGAAGGGCCAGGTGCTGGAGACACCGGGGATTGAGGCGGCGACAACATCGTGCAGCAAGACTAAGAGTAGTAGTGACCAGGCATTTGCACTCCTATGTGAATAGGAGCTGTTGGTCAGGCTTGGGACAGTGTTTCTCAAGCGCCCAGCGTGCCGGGAACTCCATACACGAGGCCCGAGCTTTGGACATCGAGATATCTTGAGCTTGAGCTGAAGGCTGAAGTGCACTAAGTGCACTGCACTGTTCGCGTCGGTGCAGGTCTTCCGGCGCTCCCACGGAGGAGGGTTTTTGTCGAAGTCACACGGAGCCGTTTAGGGCCCTGTTCCTGCAGAGGCACCGAGCGCGGAAAGTTGCGACTCCAGCAACGCTCGCTTCTAAGAGCTTCGTACCATCCCCGGCGCAAGTCAAGCACTGATACTGAGACGTGGGAGGCAAGGGAGCATCGGCAGCTCAACCGCATAATCCGCGAGCGTTTCACCAGGCATTGAGCGAAATTTCTGTCGTCCTGGTGCGAGTTTGCGTAGCTCTAGCCGGAATACTGTTCCAGGAATCGAGAAGGGTGGCACGATTGGCACGTCGGGCGTGTGCTGGGCTGAGCCTTTGTCACCACCACGTGTCACTGAGTCGGTACATTTTATGCATGTACCAAGCATCACATAGCACAAGGCATCGTTTCACCCCGGCATGCGATGGGCTGTGTCTCGTGCGCTACAGACTAGCATGCAGCATGTGCATACGCTTGACTTGACGCTGCCTGCAGTTCGCCAGCACCTGGATCCAAAATGGTCCGAACACAACGTGAGGGCAGTGCTATGAACATCTGCAAGGGATTGAATCTGCCTTGTTGTTCTGGCAGCTTCTGGTCCAAGATCGCAGGCCTCACCCGAACCCATAAAACCTTACGGTTCGCTGCTGCTTGAAGCAATGCTGGCTACGAATGGCTTAGATCGAAGTTGTTGAACCCAGCTTGCTTTGGGAGTGAAACCCATGACAACAGCACGATCCCATGTAGCCTTGCCTTTGAACAGTCTTTTGAGTTGTGCTCCGTCGCTCTCCGGATACACGGCGAGTGTTTTCGGCTTGCCGGAAGGCTCCGCGGAATTGCACCCAAAATTGTAAGCCGGATTTGGGTTGAATCACACTTGATTTGTCACTGACGACGGAGCGCTGAGGAGGCCCCTTCCGAACTCAGTCTCTGCACGCGCATCATAGCAGTCAGAGCATGCAAGCATGGCAGTGGGAGGCAAAGCGGAACGGCGTGGGCGAATTCCTGCAGGCGCTTCCCCCCGGACCTGAGACCTTCCCGATGCTGAGAAAGATGCTGTGGAAGACTGGCCCTAAGCCCTCTTGAACCTAGGACATAAGCAGGGTGTCTGCGATGGCATCGCACATGCTTCGATGAACATTGTCCACTTCCACAGCGAAGATTCTATGAGTCTGGCTTAGATGTGATTGCATAGTCTAAAGAAAGCTTTTTGCTTGAGTGGTATAAAAGTGGTGTAGGTACGTCACTTGGTTAGGCTCTGACTACAGTGAGTTTGTCGCAGCCTCGACCACCTAAGCAGGTTTAGACCATTGGCTGAGAATCCATACAGCGACCCTGCAGTTGAAGCACCACCACCACCATCAGCAATCACGATGTCTACCGGAGTATAGTGCAAGTTCTCCCTCAAGCTCGCCTTCGTTCCCGATTGGGTCAGGTACACTCTGAGTTGGTTGGTTGGTTGGTCAGGGAATGGTCTACACACCAGCGATGTTGTTTTGACCCCATATGCTGACACAATGCTCTGCCAGAGAAGAGTACCCTGCACGGCTGATATGATTTTGTCCTGGTCTTCGGTATTGGTAGGAGCAACCTATGGTTTCGTGAATTTCAAGGTACAGGCCTTCTTTTGCGTTGAGCTGTGAGACTGCAGGCTGAAGGTACCATACGCGATTATGCTCAAGGGCTGCGAGTGGTGGCACGTTAAAGGGGGTCTACTGTCAGAACACTGCGCGAAACTACGTTTTGAGGTCCGGGGGCCTAAGCGAATCCTTCACTACATCATACTAGATTTTGGGAGTCTCGCATTTGTGAACTACAGTTTTGCGTTCTCAAAGATATTGCTCGACCATCATGCTGCAAGATTTGATGCTTTGCCATAAGATGGTTTAGGATTTGAAGCTGCTCGTAAGCCGAAGCGGCAGCTTGGAAATGGCCGGTGGTGGGTTATCATTCGAGGCTGTGGAATCCATGTCGCTGTGGCAAATCTGTGCGAGAACGCTCCATGAGAAACCGCAAGAAACGGCAATTGAGTGAACCAACCGTTTGCGACTGTGTCATAGTTCGTTGACAGAGAGTCTGGAAAGGGTTCTGGCTTCTACAGCAAGACAAAAGAGCTTCGTCGCGACCTTGCTTTTCCTGTACTTGACTATCAACAAGCTGTAGCTGGTTTCGAGAATTGGACTCTGCTACTGTCTCCTGCAAACTCATCGAGACTGTTCGGCTTCAACGGCCAGGGCACATCGACCCAAGTTGTCTGGTGGCATGCCTCGGCCCTTAAGAAAAGCCGACACTTTGAGGCATAGATTCCTATTTTGAGGCTTTTGGCTGTGGTCTAAGGGATGTACGCTGGCCACAAGTCCATGATCCAGTAGGTAGAAAACAGGTCCCTACCTGGCATGCACGATGCTCTTTGGACTTGCTGGCTATGTTGATCACTGCGTCCCACTGCACCCTATAAATGCCGGCGTAAGACGCTGATTGGCACGGTGCGCTCGTTTCCTTATCGGGGAGGCTCATGATCAGCGCGGGCACATATACTAGTAGCACAGGAATTCGCAAGAAGGGTTGTCGCTTTTCTACTTACAAGCCTGTGGCCTAGGGCCTAGTTTGCAGGATGTGGGGCGTGGTGATGGTGGCCGCAGGTTGGGAGCATGTCGCATTGGCATGGGCGAGTCTCCGAACCCTGCGGAGCTTGGGATGCCAGTGGCCAATTCAGCTGTGGCACCTGGGGAAAGAGAGCATCACAAGAGAAGTGGAGATGCTGTTTCGTTCCGAGCTTGATGTTGAGCCTATAGATGTGCATAGAGCTAGACGGGAGGATCCTCTCCTGTCAGAGCCCAGCCTGATGAGCTTCGTGCCTGCAGACCGGGAGGATGCAGGAGTCCATTGCTTGAAGGGGGATCCTGTTGCTTATTCTTTGCCGCCGGTCGCCGTGCACTTGAGCAACTTCTCTCAGGTCTTGCTCATGTTCCCTGACTGGGTTGCCTTTGAAGATGTCTGCACTGAGTCGATCTGGATGCGGAAGGATGGATCGGCAGCGAGCGCCTTCTTCCATGCTGGTAGCTCCCGTGTACAGGACCTGTCATACTATCCGAAGGCCTGGCTGTCGTTTGGACTATCGGCACCGGCAGACGAGTGGGAGGTGGACGAGTCGGCACTCTTCCTGGATAAGTCGCAGTGCCCCAAGGGTGCCCTGGTGGTATTGGAGATGCTTCTAAGGAATGCGCAGAGGTCAACGCCTTTGTTCCCGTGCGGCACGGTTGCCTTCTGGCGCCCGGCTTGGGAGTTGGCGGGCTGCCGTTGGAGCTTCTCACGTTACCCTCCTGCGCTTTTGGGATTCAAGACAGTCGACCATAAGAGCTTCTTGGGAGGTGGACGTGGTGCACGGGATACCGATGATGGGCATGTGTTGGGAGTGCATTTTCAATGGTTTAAATACTATTGGTTGCAGCGGCCATCCCCATTTGTGCCCATGGTGGCAAACGTGGCTGCACTCTCGCTGGAGCCTTTGTGGGATCCTGAAAGCTTGAAGTTGGCAGTGGTTGGCTATGCGAACTCCGCGAACTTTCACTTCGCCCAGTATGAAAATTACAGCCAGTGCAGTCTCTTCGAGTTGGAAGAGGTTGCTTCGGAGTCCTTCCCGAAGTGGACTGAGATTTGGAAGGATGCCTGGAGGGAGGCGTTCAGCGAAATTACCAGCTGCCCAGAGCACGACGCCCGGTGCTGGTGGAATGAGGTCTGCCTGCCGGAGCCGTGCACGTTGCTTGGGGCCGGGGCCAACACAGAGCCAGGCACTTCGTTGACTTGAAAGTCCGGGCCTGAGGTTCAGGAGGTCGAGGGTCAAGCCGTTGAGAGGGAACGAACAGCTTTGGATAATTTGCTGCTCGGGACTGCGGCACTTTCTGAACTTGCGGCCCTGGAGCTTCATCAACTGCTTGGTAGACTTTGACGTGCTCAGACTCTCAATGTCCTCTGCTGCGTCTATGCGAGCCTCTGGTCTAGCTAGCTATGTTGGGATGGGAGGCATTTCAGTTGTCGCATTAGTTGCTGCCTAGTGCCCAACCCCCGCAGTCCGCTCCTGACCAGTCGATGCAGAAGCACCAACCTTTCAGCCATTGGCGCCAACTCCCTTTCACGATGTCGTTTGCTTCCACCTCGTGTTGCGTACTGCAAAGAAGCCCTTCAAGGCTTGCCCGACCTTCTTCCGACTCCTTGCAACCATGATGTTGCTGTTGTGCTACTGCGTGTGCCTGGCATGCCCGCGAACCGAAACTCCTGGTAGGGCTTGCGGCTGTCTTTGGGATTTTTGGTAGCCTAGTGGGTCAGAATCTGACTAACTTGCAAGTGAGTCAGTGTGGTTCGTTCGAGTCTGCGCGTCTGTGCGTGTGCGTGAGTGTCTCTCTCTCTCTCTCTCTCTCTCTCTCTCTCTCTCTCTCTCTCTCTCTCTATGTCCGTGCGTGTGCGTGTGTGTTTGTGTGTGTATGTGTGTCATCACGGGACAGGGCGCGCCGGGAGGAGGGGAGGAGCAGACTTCAGGCTTCAGTTTATGGTTGAATTATCCGTGAGCTACAAGGCTAGCTGCCCTAAGCTCGGAAGACCGTGTCTTAGAATGTCTTGGATATTGAGATTGAAGCCTCAACCTCCGAGCTCATGAGGCTGTCCGTGGTCGACGGAGATGGAGCTGTTCGAGAAGTCTGCGCATACGGAAAGATGGCCCCCAAGCGGCCTTTAGCCAAAAGGTCAGCTTTGAAAGCATCGGACCTCAAGCCCATCAGCTTGGAACAATACTGCTTTCGATCGCTACAACGGAACGCTCCGACAACTGGGCTTGCGCCTGCCTCCCCGTGTCCGTCTGGCAGCGCAAGATGGCACAAACTGAGAAGCTGTGACTTAGAAGATCGGCCTTTCACGCCCAAGTTGTAGCCATACCATAGCACGTCTTGGTGCTTAAAATCAGTCTGTGAAAAAGGCTGCGGAGCCCTTCCGAACCCTAGGCTCTGCCATGTTAGATGCGTTTGGGTTTAGCGTCTAGGGTTTTGGGGTCCTTCCTCGTAACTTGAAGATATCCGCAGGCAGCTGGCAGCATGATGTGCAACTGCTTGGAACGAGCACGCACACCACTCCTGCAAGAGGGGCCGGGACCCGAGGGCGGCTGGCTTGATATGGGCCGATTCACAAGTTAGTAAGACCGTAGAAGCAGTCGCGATGATCCGTAGTGCAAAAAGCTCTCATTTCACGGGACACCTCCGACTATGGCTGTAAAGGTCGCATGGCAAGGCCAGCCGCCGAAAAATCGCGGGCCGCCTTGTTGAGGCCACCGTGGGTCAGCAGTGCCTTGCAGCAGAAGCCTAGGATTTTGAGTCTAGGGTGTAGGATGTAGGTTCATGTCAGCCAAAGCCAGTTAAGTTAGGGTTTTGGGCTTGTCTTCTGGGTTAACCTCCGCCCCAGTCAATCTTTTGATGAACGACTGCGGCATTCAACGAGCAAATTCAACTAAGAAGGTCTGTTCACTACTCTCATGTCGACTGCCTCACCAGACAGGTTTTAAATGACCACTACTTCAAGGAGCTTCGCGAAAAGCACAAGGTGCTCTGCTCTGTCTGCTGTTCAACTTTTGAGTCTGTTGGGGCTGTCCGGATGGCTTCGGGTGCGCCTCTGCCCGTGACCTGTGCAGACTCATAGAGACGCTTCTGCGGCAAGCAATTCGACGAGTCAGGCCTCGATGTATTAATCGATGTTACTATGATATAATACCAACAAGATCACCTGAGTTGACGTTAAGCCAAATGGCAAGCACTCGGATCTTGTGGAGCGAGGAACAACAACTCCGGTCCGTAGTCGGCAGTCTTTCGTGGATAGGCAGGCCAGGCCAGATATCTTGTACTGTGTATCGAAGCTCCAGAGTTCGATCCAGGGCGCAACAATTTGCACCTTACATGAGGCTACCACGGTTCTCGAGTTGGCCTTGAACGGGCGTAGCTTGAAGCTAAGGTACGGTAACGGACCTTTTGATTTCGAGAGTCTCGGCTTACGGACTGCCTCAGACACCAGAGTTGCGGGCCAGGCGAATGTTCGCTCACAGCAGGGGCGTATTCATTCTGAGAGATCCCACTCGCAACTATGATGTCATGGTCGTTTCTTTCTCGTCTACGACTATCAAGCGTGTGTGCCGTGCGATGCTCCTACCGGAGACGTACGCCCTCCAGAATGCACAGGAATCCGGTGATAGGATCCGCGCAGCGTTGGCTGCAATCTACGGATTCGGTGGCTCAGGTGCTGAGTCGGAAAGTCGTGCGAGGACGAAGGTCCCGCACATCTGCCTTACCGACTGCCGAAATCTTGCAGACCGTTTGAACACTGAAGCTCCTAGGAGAGTTCAGGACAAACAACTACAAATAGAACTCAGCCACCACGTCAGTCTATCTTTAACGAAGACGGCGTCAGAACCGTTGAGGCTTACCCTCTCGGGGGAGACCGAGTCGATTGGGTCGATACCACGACTCAAGCTGCTGATTGTTTTCCCATATCGATGAAGCCTGATTTCATAAACAAGGTAATCGGTTCTGGTGTGTACAGAGTGAGCCGCGCTAAGCTGCAGGGCGGTAGTTCGCAGACGCTACACAAATGGACACACCCTGTGTGTACCATCGTAGCTGAGGATCAGTGCAAAGTAGCTTGCAGACGCCACTCACTTTAGGACAATATGCTTAGTGTACCTCTTGTGGCAATTAGTTTGTTTTCCGTTCTTCGTCGCGACATGAGAACACGTTGAGTGTGAATCACACTTGATTTGCTCATGTGTAGGCCATGACCGTGACTTGTATATGTTCTGAACCGCTGCCGTAGGCCCCTAGCGCATTACGTGTCGTTACGCAGTGAAAGTTGAAAAGTTGGACCAATATCAAGGTTGGCATCAGCCCGCCAATGTTCGCCCAAATTCTGTTGAAGATGTGCCTGGAGTCGGCCAGGTGACCGATGCTCCACTCAACACCCAGCGCAAGCTAAGCCGCCAACATGTGCTGCGGGCGTCGCTTCCAACCCGAAGAAGTATAGCCAAGCAGGGTGATGCATGGCAATACCCACGCTCGCACCTTGCAGCCGATCGATAGTGGTTGCATTTTCTGAGCTGCCCTGCACCGCGGCTCAAGCACGTGCCGAGCAAGTGGTTTCAGGAGGGTCAAATGCGTTGCATAGCCATCGATAAGTGCATGCCCAGACATGTACCCAGATTGCAATCTAACGCAAGCAAACATAAACAATCTGTGGCTATCACCTGCATCGTGTTGAACGACAAGCCTCAAGGGGCGGACATCTTCAACATGAAAGCTCTCTGAAGCTTGTACCAAAGGTTGGGCGGAAACTCTGGCTTGCCTTCCAAAAGCCCACATGCCTGCTCGAAAAGCACAAGCAACTGTTTTGGAGCCGAGCCTTCTCTTGCAGGTCGATGTCGACATTCCTGAGAAAGCTTACCCTAATGACCTTTTGCTAAACCGCGTGGGCAGCTGTTGTGCGCCAGATTGCGCAAGTATGCTGTACAAGCCGTGGCAACAACGCCAGGATGCACAGATGCAGATTCTCGCAACAGGACGCAACTTTTGCATAGTGAATGGGAGGACTAGCCGGGCTCACGCCGAAGTTCGCGCCTGATCGGTCTATTTGTGTTGTCAGCGGCACAAAGAACTCCTTTCTCCCACAAGAGGTCAGACAGAGTTCAGAAGCAGAAGCAAATACTTCATCGCATCTTGGAATCATGATGGATGTCATGAGATCAGCTCAACTCAGAGCACGACCGGGATGATAGGCTGCATGGAACATGGAAGTCCGCAACATCTTCAATCTGCAAATTCCAAATGTGAAGGTGCCGGAAGACTTCCTGGAGAGTGGGGAGACACAGGCCGCTGCACAGGTGTGCCATCTTCAGCAACATGTGCGTAGGTTCGCACGTTCTCCGGTCAAGAAACCGATCCAAGGATGTCCAAGGGTTTGCCTGAAAAGATTCTTGTGAAAGCCACTTTTTGCAGCAGAGGCGGTCAGCCAGTTTCTCGGTGTCAGGGCACACATCGACATGCTTGCAGGTTAGGGGATACAGGGTCCGTGATACTAAGCATCTGACTGTTTGATTGTAGGGGGTTTTGGGATGCCCGATTATCTGACATACGCGAGGCCCTGAACCTGGAGCTCCCGAGGATGGAGTCGACACTGGGCAAAGGAGGCAGAGCGGCTCGAGCCACTTTTAGAGGGGAAAGCAGAATGATACTCATGGCATTCTCTTTCCTACTTGTAAGCTTTCACGAGAGTCAAGCTCGTGGGACTCCCTAACACATGCTTGTTTGGATATCTTTCAACTCAAGGTTTCCTTTTCTGGTGGGTTTGGAAACGTGGCGTCATCGGTAAGAAGCCGTTCCAAGACTCGCCACGGATGATCGAAGCTTTCGCGAGAGTGGATCGCTGCTGCTTCAGTATTGCTCAGTTAGTTGTGATATTCTGGACCTTTTGTTGTTCGGGCTCTGGAATCTTTGCGTGAGAAGACAGAATGGCGAGGGTCTGAAATCTTAGGCCGACAATATTAGACCCACAGCCTGCTGGAATCCTCAGCATGGAGAGCAATGGCATTGGCACTACCCCTAGCGCCGGCCACACCTACCGCGCCACCCCCAGCACCCTATCACCCCTGCCACTCCTGCAACACTGCTCCGCCACTGCCACCCCTGCCACCCACACAAACTTCACCACCCCGGCCACCCTAAGACTTTTCTTGGGAGCGGGATGAGGGCCTGAGGATTTGAGCGTCTCAGGATCTGAGACTGAGTGTGTGAGCAGTATCTGAGATTCTGAGCTTAAGTGTCTGAACGCGTGAGCATCGAGTGTTTGAGCGTCTGTTAGTGTCTGACGGTCTGATCAGATCTGTCCAAGTGGGCGAGTGGGTTGATGTCTAGGCGTGTGAGAGTTTGAGTGTCAGCATCCGAGTTTGTGAGCCTTTGAGAGTCTGAGCGTCCCAGCAATGTTTGAGCGTCTGAGTACGTCTGAGTGTGAGTATCTTTTGGACTGATTGAAATAGAAATGAAACCCCCAACATGCCGTCAATCCAGGAGGTTGCCGGTTGAAGTACAGCGGGAGCGCTGTATAAGAAAATACTTTCTGGGACGAGGGTAGTCTGGTTTTCTTATTTTGATAGCGGCTGATTTTATGGGAATATTTAATCTGGGATGTGTCAGGGTTGTCTGGTTTCTTTGATGCAGTTTTCTTATGTGGCTATGTCCAGGGCCCGTTCCAGAACCCACCTAAATAAGAAAACGAGACTCTGGCATTTTCTTTTTCTCCTTCGGTCCAGAACCCACCTGAATAAAGAAAACGAGATCCTGGCATTTTCTTACTCTCCTTCGTTCCAGAACCCACCTGAATAAAGAAAACGAGATCCTGGCATTTTCTCATTCTCCTTCGTTCCAGAACCCAGCTAAAGACCACGAGGATGCCTACGATCCCTGAAAGCCGTGCTTGGAAGCCTTGGAGGGCAAACTTCAGCAGGGTCAAGGCACGAACCTAGGACACCCCAAGTACTAGGGCTAGGATGTGAGGCAAAGGCCCCTGATGTATGGAACCCCTCATACAGCACAGGCCAAGTTTACGCGCACTAGTATGACAGAACGAAACAAGAAAATGAGACTCGCGGACGAGGGTACCCTGGTTTTCTTATTTTAACAGTGCTTGGTAGTTTATGTAGAACCCTATCAATCGCAAAATCTAGAGTCTCATTTTCTTAATCCAATGTTTTCTTAGGTAGTGCTGTTGCTGTAGTCGCATCGTCTACTGCAACAAGTTGCGTCTCTGGGACTCATTTTCTGGAGCGTTTCCGCCATGGTGCACGGCAGAATCTACGAGGGTTTGAAATCCTGGCCTTTGAATGACTACGTGATCAACACAAGAGGGCGAGAGGAATAAGGGGCCGCAAAAAAAAGAATGACTACATGACAAGAAATCAGACCCAGGCAGCTGGATCTGGTGCCTGCTTTACGAGCTGACCCTATTATATTCTTGTATATTCTTCCAGGTGCTGGGTCCTGGTTATCTTGTCAGGTCTTGTTCATCGAATCATTCAGCCAGCACCAGTGAGGCGAATGTTCGCACAATGAGTTGTCAGATATCTCTGCATGGCAATCTCAATTTGTTTAACCAACCATGTCCATAACTACGGGCGTCCTCAGGCAGCGAGCAATTCAACAGCAGTTGCCGGCGCTACGTCTCTCGACTCCGATTTGGTCGGGTTCGGGAGGGTAACCTCATTTGGGGCGGGCAAGGCTGCGTTACGTGGGGATTTGATATCTCTCGAGGTGGTAAAGACGCTCTCGAAGGATGACCACAAGGCATTGCTTCGACTGGCCGGCCCGCTGGTGGACAGACTGCCGCTTTGAGGGAAGATGAGGGCTTCAAAACGCCGCTCTTCAATGCACAGTACTGCAGCTGCAGCTAGCAAGGCTTCAGAACCGCACCTTGATGTGTGCCAACCTCAGAGTCTGAAAAAGTCTTTCCTAGGCCTTCATAGCGTTGAGATTGAGGCCCGATCTATTTGCACTTCAAGGACGTTGCCACAGGCCGCTTTTTCATGGCCATGCGCAACCTGACGGAGGCCACCACCAGAGCATGCGAGCTGGCAGCATGGCCTTGATCCAGCTAAGCAGGTTGGACCTTGGGCAGTGAAATACGACCTCAAGGGCTGCGATGATGACAAGACCATTGAGGCCTCCATGGGCCCGATTGCAGGGAAGCACCGCAGAGCCCTTCATTCGGGTTCTGATGTTCGCAGCTCAATGGCAAGCCCATCAATCCGGTCCGGAAGCGCTTCTATCGCAGCAGCCTCGAGTCCTCGAGGGGCACACGTATGCGATTCTTGGAGACTGAGGCCCGCACATGTGGTGCCAGTGCATGCTGGGAGCTTGACAGGGCTTGCATCTTCCACTCTCAGCCGTTCCACTATAGCCTGTCGTCTCTCGAACCCTAGGTGGTCGCCCGAGCGATGGTTGTACTATCAGGGCAAGGCCATGTCGGGTCGTTGATGCTCCATTTCATTTGTGCAGCCATGCCGTCAGGTTCAGGCAAGATCGTTGCGGCATCCCGGTCGCATGTTCATTGCAGCTCCGCCATATGCTTTGTGTCGCAGTGAGGTGTTCAGGGCTTTGAGTCGTTCTGATTGGACGAGAACGACGAGAGTCACATCTCGATAACTTTCCCTGAAGAGACGATGCAACCGAGCAGATTACATCACCCGTCGGTGACATCGCGTCAATGACGACGGCTGTTAGGGCCCGTAAGGGTGCGTAGGGAGCAGTCTTGCAATGTCTTGCACAATGCAGAAAGCCTTTGGGCCTCCCAGACCCCTTGACTTTTCAATAGAAAACTGTTGGTACTCGTCAAGAGGAAATGTGCAATGAGTATTCACGTGAGGTTTGTGGTTGTGGGCTCATTTTGGTGGCGAAAGAAGCTGCCAAAAGGGCAGGCCTATCATCGGGAATCAACATTCTTCGGAGATCAAAGCCGTTGCCCACGAAAGGGTCGGTGCGGGTGCAAGATGTTGCCCATATGCGGTCGGTGGACACTACCTGGGCTGCGATGCTCTCAAAAGCGTGTGCGCACTTCGCTGAGGCTTGGCGTAGCTGACTCCCAGCGCGAGGAGGTGATGCAGCTCATCAAGTCTGATGCAGACCCTCGGTCCGACTCGACGTCGTAAGGGCTGCCGCAATAGTATCAATCGAGACGGGGCTGTCGTCCTTGCAGGTCTGCATCTGATACAGGGATCCACACAACTGTTCCAAACGACGGCAGACTTTATGCGCCCATCCTTGCTCAGGATTGGCTGATTAGCACTGGCCTTACTTCACTTACTCTACAGGACAGGGCTTTGACATCATCAGGTTGGGAAGTATTCCGAAGCGGCTTCTGCCTGAGGCCACAATGTCATGGACTACTCCTTGCTGGTTGCAGTGCGACGGCTGCCCCCAGAAGTTGCCAAGAATTGCGGAGCAGGTCCGAGAATCATTGATCATACACAGTGTCTGCATAGTACATAATATGACAGCGTCGACAAGTATCCCTACGTCCTCAATCGCCTGAACCTCTCCAACCCCGCCTCCCCAAACCCGAAGGAGGCCTTGACTCAGTGGCTTCTCGCGGCGAAGCGGCATCTGGCTCGCGCCAGCCCGCAGCAAACAGCAAGCAATCGCAATGCATACATGAATGCAGCCCCAAACAAGGGACAACTAAAGGAGAGTAAATACGTAGGACATATCCGACGAGTTTGTGGGTCGGTGCACACGTGCAGACAAATCCACGCACCAGTATGTGTGTGGTATAATACAGACACAATTATACACGCACTCATGCAGACATGCATACATACATGCACATCTGCTTTACACTTGATAAGCTTATTTCTGGAGCACCATGTAGAATCCTGTCCGTGCACAGAGGCACGTATGTGTCTGCACAGTTACATCTTCATGTGCAGAGACACAGAGACAGAAGGCCATACAAATACATCTATACATGCACGGACAGCACTCATACCCACACATGTTTTCTCCTCACCGTTCTGTCGCAGTGTACGTTGTAGAACCGTGTATTGACTGAAGCCCTTCCTGTAGATCCACCTCGATTGAACTACGGAATGCTATGGCATTCGTGATACTTCGATGATGCTCCCAACCGCTGCCAAGTGTTTCAGAAGTTTGCAGCGCACGTTGTAGAACCGTGTATTGACTGAAACCCTTCCTGTAGATCCACCTCGATTGAACTATGGATTGCCATGGGGTTCGTGATACTTCGATGATGCTCCAAGTGTGCTGGTGCACTGTTAGGTCGGTGGGCCATGCTCGATAAGACGACCGGGGAACTGGTGGTCCGCCCCTGAGAAAGAAGCCCTCTTCACAATGATGGCCGCCTTATTGAAATTCCAGCGAACTTGTGGGTTAACTGGACCGCATCTGTCCAGAGATCTAAGGTGCTCCACTTAGGCATTATCGATTTTCTGCAGCCCTGGACACCAAGCAAAGTGGCTGCCATGTGCGCCAGTTGATCGCTCGTCAGTGATTGTTGCGCGAAGAAGTGAGTCGCATCAAACCCGAGAAGTGACCTGGCACGCATTGCTCCTCAGTCATGCCAGGTACATCAAGTCCTTTGAGTTCAACAAGGCACTTAGCAAGTTACCCGTGCAACCGATGGAGCAGTGATCTAATTCACACCACAACTTGTATCATTCCGCAGCGCCGCATTGCACGTTTAGGAACCTGGGCTCACTTTTGCTTTGTCCGACAGCAGCCATGTGCAGCCCTTCCCGTCTTGCACAAGTGGTCTCTTTAACAATAAAGGTGAACCTCTTGGTTCTTTTGGTCAGGTCCCTTTCGCTCGGGCGACTGGGAAAGGGTCCGTTCAAAGATGCAACCAGTACAGAGACTGGCGTACAGTTACTCTGCAAAATGCCGAGTGAGCTGCCAATCTGCAGGCCACGGTACCTCCCCCTCTCTATGGGAGCAGGCACTGCAGCATGAGTTGACGTTGAGCATGTCACATCATGATCAGAAGAAGGGTTGAGGTTTCAAGACAGAAGCTATGCCATGCTGCGATATTCTGCAGAGCGGGGCGGGCTTCGGTCCGGAGCTGGCAGACTCGCCAGTGCAGCTCCACATCTTATCACCCGCCAGTCCTGCCAGCCACGGAATCGGTAGCACCAGTCATACTTGTAGCGTTCCTTCTGCGCTTCAGGCTTACCGTCACAGGATGGCAACAATCTCCCAAACTTGAAATCTTGAGCTGTATGCCTTGTCCAGGTTCGCGAAGCACTTTGAGGCGCCAGCTCGCCTGAACTCAGCGACAAAATACTTTTTGAGACAAGTTCTTTTGCAGGAGCGGCTCTCGAAAGATGACACTCTCACTGCGCAGTCGGAAGCGGACACCTGGCTGCAGCACTTGTCCACGTCCTCGAAACCTCCATCTCCCATGCAGTTTTCAGGTAACGTATGCAGCCGAACGCTGGTGCCTTGAGCATGATGGCATCAACGGCATCAGCAATGGAGACGATGCGAGAGGTGCTGACTGTGCTTTATGCATGTTGACTTAGTCGCGACTCGCGACTGTTTACATCCTTTTGAATGATGTCGTGGGACAAGAAGGCAAACTGATCAGCACAATCGTGTGCAGCCTAGCTTTGGAGCTACAACCAGCATGACCGGAGACAGAGTCGCGCAGCCAAACACGAGCGGCGCATCGATGCCATGAAACGAACAGACAGTGAAACATCCATTGCGGGTTCTGGATCCGTGCTTTGTACACGCACACGCACACACGCACGCACGCACGCACGCACACACGCACGCACGCACATACACACACACACACACACACACACACATATGCACACACACACACACACACACACCCTTAAGTAGGACTTATATCGAGATATTGGAGTAGTTAGTCGGGCCCACAACAGACTTTTGCAGAAGAAGAGGTTCCAACTCGTAGCCAAAACAGCCCCAGCTTCAAGCAGGTCGGTGCTGATGCGGCAGGCCAAGCATGCTTGAAGACATCTGTTGAGCCACCGCCCGGGCATGCCCCAGCTTTCTGCTTCTTGTTTCGAGGATAGGCGTAGGTTTGTGCATGCATTGGCTGCAGGTTCAGGATGCTGATGGTGCAGCCGACATGACAGGGCCGGGCGCGGTACTGAGGCTGAGGAAGCAGCTCAAGTCGCCAGTAGCGCAACGCAAGTTTGGCAACGAATCCATCCGTCAAGATTCTAATGGCATCAAAAACCACATGGATCCCTGGATTGCCTGACGAAGTCGAGCAGACTCTGACTTTTTCATGACGTCTCCGCCGGCAGCAGTTGATCCCAGAAAGGGATGCACTTTTGCCGCGCCGTTAGTGTAGGCACGTCCCGTTGTGGCAGTTTGCTGAAGCATCCTGCAGAAGGTCCTTCCCGTGCAGAGCAAGTCCTGCAGCTTCTCTGTCTCTTCCAGAGACTCCAGAACACTTTACACAAGGGTTTAGTTTCACAAGGGTTGATTAGGATCTTGAGTAAGAAACAAGATACACTGCTTTGGCTAGTCGGACTGGTAATTGGGTGTTTGTGTGCGGCAGGATCGCTGCCGGAGCGGCAGCTGCTGCTTCCGAAACACGTGGAGCACATGCCAGCAATGCGCAAAAAGGAAAGCCTTCGTGAGGCTGCAGTAAGTTGAGCCTTTCAGCATCGCTCGCTGGACAGCTCTGGTTGAGCAGGCCCCGGCGAATGCCCCATGCCATAGCCTTTGCCACATCCCAGGTCAAAGCTTTTGAGACGGAGGTTCCCAAATTTCACTACCTGCGTGGACGCCAGAAAGCCTTTGACCGTTGAACCCTTCCCGATTCCCCGGATGATAGTATAGTATAGTACAGTATCCTCAAGCACAAAGGCCTCGGCACCCAATTCCCAGCTCGGCTCGAGCCTCCGTCTTGAGACGGAGCGCATCGTCGTGCCGGGCGCCTCGATCGACGGATCCCTGAGGCGAAAGTGGGCGCAGAGAGGAGTGACTGCTTGAGGGTTTAGGGCTGTCGTGACTGTAGTGTGTAAGGGAGCGGATTCAGGGCCTAGAGGTGGAGATATGACTGAGGTTTCTTAGGGATGGCAAAGTAGGAGATATACTCCCCGATGATCTTCATTCTGTTTGGATTGAGGCCCACCCAAGCGGCAGCCATGAGAAGTAAGATAGGTCGAGGCTGTCGGACAAGGAGATTATTGGTAGCGGCGGGTCGTCATACCATTGCGAGACAGCGACTGCGGCGAGTCTGGCTGCAGCTTCAAGATTGAATAGGGGCAATATTCACCTTCAGCGGAAGACAATCCTTGTGATATCTTCGGAGTAGTGGGTTGGATATTTTCCAGCGCCTGTCTTAGCACACACTTAGAGCGATCAGCTTTGCGACGACAACGACTTCGCCCGTGCCACCACGAATTACGTTCCTGACATTTATACCCATCAACTGGCGCAGGGCTTGCTCTGTTCTTGTCTTATGTATAGAAGATCCATCGGACTAGGTCGCAAATGCACGCCCAACCGAAAGTGTCACGAATGTGGGCACACTTCCACGCAGACCGCCCTAATCAGTGACAAATGTGTTGCCTGGCTTTGCACTGTCGTTCGACAGGCCATTTCGTGGGATGTGGACTCTCAATGTAGCTATCCTTTGCTTCTTGCACCTTGGCGTCGCCTTGGGCAACAAGCCACCTGGCTTAGCAGCTAGCAGAGGCAGAGCTTTTGAGCTGGCTTGGTATTTTCAGATCTTGGTTCCTAAGGGTCCGCAGTGCTGATTGGCAAAACATGATATTCAGTCGGCTGCCCTGCTTTGAGAAGTCATGAGATGAGAAGCCTCAGGCTATGGACGACGAACCTTCGAGAGATGGCGTTTGCCACCTCCAAGTTGCCTTTGGGCAACCTGACTGTGAAACTAAAAGCAGCCGCTTGTCTGCAATTTCGCGGCTTCTCGCTTGGGGTTCCTTTCAGGTGGCGGATTGGGAGATCTGAGAGAAGGTGCAAGAGCTTGAGTTATAAAAGATGATCGTTGAATCTTTTCGACCTTCGTGTTGAAGATGAAGCCTGATAGCGCCGTATGCGGGCGTGCACATGTTACCGCTGCACTTCCTCTGAGAGGAGCGCTGCATGTTGGGTAGGCTCGCGCGATTCCTACAGGCCCTAACATGCACCGAACACATCCCAAACCACGTTCCCGCCACGTGTGCCATGCAGCGTCGGCACAGTGCCTTGAATCCAACAAGTTGTTGAACATCGAGGGTGTGTGCAAGTTCCTCGTTTGGAAGTGCGACGTGCTTTCAAAAGTCACCACGCGGGAGGAAATGCTTCTGAACATTACTTTAGATAGCATTCTCTGGAGATCTGCGCAAGCCGCTTTCTAAAGCCACAGCTTGGCTTCAGCTGCCGAAGCTGTACAGGTGTAAGCACGGTCAGGGAAATGCTGGCAAATGAATGGGAAATGACGGACGACTTCTGAAAATGGATGAACAGAAGATGACAGAAGTGTCGGCAGCACACTTCCTGCGGTCGAAGCTGCAGCAGTCGAAAGCAGGTCGCTTTTTGCGAGGAGGAGTGCACAAGTCTATCGGCCCTGAAACGTTCATGCCAAGTCATGCTGAAGTAAAACTGTACAAGAACAGAGCAGGTTCGCAAGAACCCGGCGAAATCAGCCCCACCCCACCTTCCGCCCCCCCACCATTCCTCTCACCATTCCTCTCATGCAAACCATGCTGACGAAGTTGCAACCCTGCAAAGCCTGAAAATCAGCATACAAGCAGAGACAACAACGTGGTAAAGTTACGTGTGTCTGTCGCCTAAGTACCAAGACCAGATGTAAAGGACCCGTAAGGTACCCCTGCTTTTCAGAAACTCTATCCTGGGAAGCCCGAATCAAGGAATCCTTCGTCAAGTCGGACACGGACGTTGGCGAGATCGGGGGCATTAGGCTCATGACGTCTGGCGGGCACTGCAGCAGCCTCAGGACAACGCTCTATACTGTAGAAATATCAAAATTACACGCTGTGGAGATGCACGCCTACGTTAATTGCCCATTGCCCATCACCCTTCTTCCAGCCAGGCATTCCTACCCGACAGCAGAATCAAGCCCTGCCACAAAGTCAGACAGCCCCAAAGCCAGGCATTAGCTGCACCACACCCTTGCGATGCTCTTCGCTGGATGAGCCACTCAAGGCAGTGGCAACGGAGGTTGCTGCCAAGTTGACGACTTGAGGAAAGGTCTACGGAATGGTCAGCATCAACATCATCAACATCATCGCCATCACAATCTTATTCGTCAGGAAGCATCATGGTCTGCATAATTTTCAATGCCATGAAGCATTAGAGACCGCTTGTCATCAACTTTGTCTTGATTGTCATGACCCTCCTGCTCGAAAGCAACAGTACAAGCGACATTGATAATTCTTGTACTAGCAATACTGCAGATGCTGTACTACTACTTACTACAGTACTTGCTGACTTGTTTACATACCTCTCCCACTCCTACTTCTGTGGCTTTGCCTTCTACTACTAGTCACTGCTACTGCTACTACTACTACCACCACTACTACTACTACCACTACTACTACTACTACTACTACTACTACTACTACTACTACTACTACTACTACGAGCACTTGTGCTAGTGCTCGTGCTAGCATCATCACCCCACTACGACGACTACTGCTGCTACTACTAGTACTACCACTACGTACCACTACCACTACCACTACCACTCCCACTACTGCTGCCACTACTACTACCACTACTACTATTACTAATGCTAACACTACTGCTACTGCTACCGCGACTGCTAGTACTAGTCCTAGGGCTAGTACTAGTGGAAGTACTTGTACTAGTACTGGTACAAGTACTACTACTACTACTACTACTACTACTACTACTACTACTACTACTACTACTACTACTACTAAAAACAACTACTACTACTACTACTACCACCACCACTACGACTACTACGACTACTGCTGCTACTCCTACTACTCCTCCTAGTCCTACTCCTCCTACTGCTACTGCTACTGCTACTGCTACTGCTGCTACGACTAATTCTGGTTTCTGCTATTACTCCTACTACTACTGCTGCTACTGCTGTTGCTACTGCTACTGCTACCACAGCTACGACAACTACTACCACCATGTGCTCGGAAAACAAGCGCGCTGTTTGGAAGCAAAATTTTGCTAATCTCGCAAATCTTGCAATCTTGGTCCACTTGCGCCGCTTGAGCCACTTGCGCCACTTGCATCATTTCACGAAGAGAAATGGTGCAAGTCGCCCAAGTGGTACAAGCGGTTCAAGTGTTGCAAGTGGTGCAGGTGGTCAAGCGGTGCAAGTGCTGCAAGTGGTTTTTGCACAAGCTTGGTGTCAATTCTGACCCCCACTGGAAAAGCAAGATTAGCAAGATTGGCGCGTACGTTCTTGGTCGGATATCGGACCGCTTTTGCCCTGTCACCGTACTACGACTACTACTACTACTACTACTACTAGTACTACTACTACTACTACTACTACTACTACTACTACTACTACTACTGCTACTACTACTACTACTACTGCTACTGCTACTGCTACTGCTACTGCTACTGCTACTGCTACTGCTACTGCTACTGCTACTGCTACTACTGCTGCTACTACTACTACTACTGCTGCTACTACTACTGCTGCTGCTTCTCCTGCTACTACTTCTGCTACTACTTCTGCTACTACTTCTGCTGCTACTACTACTACTACTACTACCACTACTACTACTACTACTACTACTACTACTACTACTACTACTACTACTACTACTACTACTACTGCACGTGTTGTGATGGATTTTCAGCTGTGCGTGACAATCAAGCTGGTCTCTGGGAAGTGTACTTCGTGAACGCCAAGTCGGTATCGGCAGACAGAATGTCCTTCGGAATCTGTTCTGGATGTTGCAGGGGATGAACGTGGCCAAAGCCTGCAATCCGCAGCCCAAGCCTGGCGACATGTTCAGCGCGGTGCTAAGGTTGGCATCGCAGTAGCAGTTGCATCAAATACTTGCCATTTTTTTAGACGCGGGACTCTGGAGAGACTGCCAAGGCTGGAAAGTGGACCCAAAGTCAGCTTATGACATCCGGCTCCTTGGGTTTCCAACCTCCACCGCATTTGGCACTAGGACGGCAGACCAAGACCGGATGCAAATGCAGTGATAGCTCTCCACGCGGAGCAAGATGCATCAGTTCTGGAAGTAGACTCACCACATGCGCTGTGGCCTAGGGTGGACTTCCCGTTGGAAAAGCTCAACGGGCAGCTGGACTTTGTTGTCGAGATCCTCTCTGCATTGGACCTCTCAGGCCATCAGAGACGGCGTCGTTTCTGATCTGACAATGAAGGCCTTGCATCTGCGACAGGTACTAACAACGACTTGAAGAAGGGTCGACAGGTGACTAGCTGGATATCCACTGTCGTCATCGGAACCGAAGACCACGCGGCCTGGATGAAGGTTGTCGGAGCCTTACGTGATTCCGCTAGCATCCGAGACCCCAAAATTCTTTGCAAAGTTCACGCACCACCCCAGGCGGTGAACATGAACGGCGACTTCAGGAAAGTCGTACTGGGGCGACAAGCAGCTGAGTTCGCGGCCTCGGCGAAGGCGCTTCGTCTCGGTCGGTGTCGGTATCGCGGTCGGTGGCTGTGCGCGTGCGTGCGTGCATGCATGTTCGTTTCTCTGTCGGTTTGGATCAGAAGCCGCAAGCTTGTGAAATCTAAGCTGGAGGCTTTGCAAGCCCACAGTGTCGCGTTCTGAACGATCTCGCCTGTGCGTGCGAAGTCGTCAGGACATATATGCCGGCGCCGGGAGCTGAGAGTTTATCCTGAATGTGAGAATACCCTTGTTGGATTCCCCTGCCTGAGGAATGTGCGAGGCCCAAAGATATCAGCGGCTATCACGCGGCTTGGATCAAGCCCTTGCGGCTGATACAACTCAGTGCCACCACCCTCAACCCACATGGCCTTGTCACCCTAAACCCAAATCTCAAAGCGGAGGTGACGGAGCTCAGCATGGCCCGGACGCAGCTCAATGTTTTGGCAGCCTGCGCATCCAAGTACATAGGCGCAATGTCCGCTTTGCTGTCTTTAGTCGAGTCAGTTCGAAGCAGTCACCATGATGATCTTAATGTCTAGTTCTCAAATTGAATAACCTGAAAAGGAGGAGCAGCGATAATCTTAAAATGATACCCATGGAACTAACCAGTCTTCCAATCGGAAGTGTCATCACTAGTAGGGTGGAGGGTCGGTGTAAACTTATTCCTCATGATGCGACTTCACCCTGAGTCGGGTACAGTGACTTCACGATACTACACGCATCCCGCGTAGCAGAAGAACATTTGCAGAGGCGTCGTTTTCCTTGTCGGGGTCATAGCAGCAGCAGCAGCAGCAGCTGCAGCAACCACCAGAACGATAACACCGGCAGCGGTTGTAGTGACTTGGTAGTGGCCGCTGAAGTCTTCGTCGGTGCGCTCGAAGCGGAGCGAGCGGAGCTGCATCAGCAACGGCTTAAACAAACACAAGCAGCAGTAGGAGAAGCAGCAGCAGCAGTGGGAGCCGTACGAGAAGGAGGAGCAGCAGCAGGAGCAGTAAGGAGAGAAAAGGCGGAGAGTAGTCTGCAGGAGCAGTGGCAGAGTAGGACAAGGACTGTAGAAGCAGCACTGTAGTAGTAGTAGTAGTACTACTACTACTACTACTACTACTGCTACTACTGCTGCTATTACTACTAGTAGCGATGAGTAGTAGGAGAAGTGGCGGTAGTAGTTGTGGTAGTAGTAGTAGTAGCAGCAGCAGTAGTAGAAGTAGTACAAGTAGCAGTAGCAGTGGCAGTAGTAGTAGCAGTCGTAGTCGTCGTAGAAATGGCAATAGTAACAGGAGCAGTAGTAGCAACGAATAGTAAGTAATAGTAGCAGCAGCAGCAGCAGGAGTAGTAGTAGTAGTAGTAGTAGTAGTAGTAGTAGTAGTAGTAGTAGTAGTAGTAATAGTAGTAGGAGTAGCAGCAGTAGCGGTAGCAGGTGCAGCAGTGGCAGTGGCGTAGTAATAGTAGTAGTAGCAGAAGCAGTAGCAGTAATAGTAGTAGTAGTAGTAGTAGTAGTAGTAGTAGTAGTAGTAGTAGTAGTAGTAGTAATAGTAGTAGTAGTAGTAGTCGTAGTGCTCGTCGTAGCGAGTAGAAGGCACCCCCGGCGCGACCAACACATTTGCTCTAAACCAACTTGAGAGCCGCCACCACCACCACCACTGCTAGGACGCTGCTACAACCTACATTACCACTAGCACTAGTTTTGTAGTTTTCGTAGTTGCAGTTGTACAAAACTTGTTTTGACGATGCTTTTCGAGGGCTCAGTGGTGTTCGATGACAACGTACTTGCACAAGCTGTGGACTGCACTTAGCTTCCGAATGCTGCTGCCATGTTCTGTAGGAGCTAGCTTGATTTAGAACCATGAAACTTCTCAATAGTTTCACTGGCATGTTGGAGCGTGATTGGAACATCCGGACGCTAGGCAGACATCTTTCTAAAGTTCCGTGCTTTCTCGCTCCTCTGAAGATGCTCCTTGCTAGGTGTGGCAAAAGTTACAGGCTGCCAAGCCCATGGCGAAGCCTATGCACTGCCGACGGCTTAGAGGGTTATAGGGTTCGGCCGATCCGTGAAGGTGGCATCTGGTCGCTGCACAGCCCCAGTCAAACTGAAAAGCTTGTTTTGATCTTGTCGTGAAGGCCATCGATGTAGGTGTCTCAGGTCCGGCTGCGATCCGGAGAAGTGCATTGCACCTGCTACGCTCACTGGCTATGTCGTCAAATCGGTGGACGTACAGCGTCCCTTCTTCACTGCCGACGCCATTTGTGACAATGAGAACGGCCGGTTGGCGGCAAAGAATGATAATCTCTTCAGATTATGCAGCAGAAGGCTCGACAGTTGCTGCTATTGCACCATTTTCCCGCAGGTTACTACGGCACGGCCACTGCGGAGGTATGTCCTTCCAATGGTCAAGAGTACACTTTGTGGGGCTGCGACACTACAACGACAACCAGTACTACGACAACCACCTCGACGACAACGACGACCACAACCACAGCGGCCGGGTTGCAGATATTGGAGTCCAGCGAAATGAGGAACAAGTTGTCGGTTACAATTTCAGTTTGTTACAAGTCAATAGCAAATTCTATCAGCCCTTCTCATGACTGCTGTGCTTGTCGCGGTGCGTCGAGAAAGCTGTCCATGCATGTTTACGAATCTGTTTGTTGCTGCGCACGCATGAAATCTTACTCGTCGTGCTTGCACAATGATGTTGCAGTTCTCTCGAGAATCAACTCAGACAACCACAACTACGACGACTACTTCAACGACGACCACAACTACGACTACGACCACAACCACCAGCACAACAACCACTACAACTACCACGACCACCACTACGACCACGTCCACCACTACGACCACCACGACGACAAGCACGACCACCACAACAACGACATCCACAACGACGACGACGACCACGACATCTACTACAACCACCACAACGACCACCTCCACAACCACGACTACGACGACTACCACCAGCACGACTACAACCACCACCACCACTTCCACCACAACGACCACTACGACCACTTCTACCACGACCTCAACCACGACCACTACGTCCACCACTACAACCACTACGACCACCAGCACAACCACTACCACAACTACAACGACCTCCACAACGACCACGACCACCACAACCAGTACTACCACGACCACCACTACCTCAACGACGACAACAACCTCGACATCAACAACGACGACCACCACAACCACCACGACTACAACATCCACTACCACTACGACCACTACTTCGACGACGACAACAACGACCACGACCTCCACAACGACGACCACCACCACGACATCCACAACAACGACCACAAGCACCACAACCAGCACTACCACCACGACTACCACAAGTACTACGACGATCACCACCACCACTACCACGACCACTACGACGAGCACGACCACAACCACTACCTCAACTAGCACAACCACTACCACCAGCACAACAACTACCACGACCACAACCACAACCAGCACAACCACTACCACCTCCACCACGACCACTACAACCACAACGACTACCACGACCACCACATCAACGTCCACAACAACCACCACCACAACAAGCACAACAACTACAACAACAACCACAAGTACGACAACCACCACAACGAGTACTACGACAACAACCACCACGACAACCACATCCACAACCACTACAACAACGAGCACAACGACGACAACTACTTCGACCACGACCACCACGACGACTTCAACAACAACTACGACCACGACCATTCATGGTACATGCTTGTCACCTCCAAATGCCGTGGGATATGTCATCGACGAGAAGAGCCTCTGGTGGTCCTCATTCGATGTTGTGGTCAAATGCGACACGCCTACCTACATCGGGCACGCGAAGGTCGAGGTGTGCACGGACAAGGAGAAGCCTTACTTGATCCACGGTTGTGCGCTCTCCTCAGAGGAACAAAGTGAACCTAGGGCAGGGCAGAGGTTTCTGAGTTCATGTTCTCAAGTAGACTTCCAGCTGAGGCGAAGTATATCAACTGCAAGACTCCAGCCAGCACACGAGGCTACGTGATCACCGAGACTGGCACCGATGCTGAGCTTGAACGGGTGTTGCTTTCGGCGGGATGTATGCTGGGACGGAAAAGCATGCAGTACTGACCTAGTGCAGACTGTGCAGATGCATGTCCGGAAGGAGGATAGTCTGCAAATTCCGTAGTAGTTCAGCACAGCAGCCCATCCGAGGAACTGCACAACTGGGATGTGAAGGCACAGTGTGCAGCGCTGTACCACGGCGCTGCGAAGGTAACCGAGTGTGACGACAACGGCCTGCCCTACGGCTCTCCGTCCAAAGATGGAGCTCACAGATCATAAACTAGACACGTTGTGGGAATCTAGCCTTTCGAGAGCCTTAAGCGTGGCCAGGCATTTCAGGCTGCGAGCCTGACACATGTATCGATCCCACTGACACCACGGGATACGACCTGACGGTGCAAGAGCTGGAGCTTTGGAAGCAGCCCAATTGCAAGTGAGTCGCATCGGATCTGACTGATGTTTCAAGCCACGTCGCCTGCTGCACATGACAACTCGAAGACATTACTTGAACCAACCGACCAGCCTACACACAGTCCCGCCACGAACACCGTGGAAAGCGGGGCCACGCCTGGACGAAGGTTCAGTGCGACCGTTTCATGTGCATCCGGCTACATTGGCGATGCCAAAGTGGAGAAGTGCGACGGTCATGGGCTGCCATACAAGATTGAAGCTTGGCATGAGGGCCACATACCTTCGCGGGCTCCAGTGCTGGAATTGAGGGATGGTCTTATTGTTTTGCATAGGACACACCTGAAGGCATGAAGCTCACGCTCCGTGGTTGTAGGGTGCCAGGCGTACGTTTTGCCAAGTCACATTCCTCCCATGTTGAGTTGCTGCGCAAAGACAAACCCTGCAAGGATGGCTGTCTGCCTACTACCACTACCACAAGCACCACGACCACCACGACTACCACAACGATTGACGAGCCATGCTTTGCTCCGAAGAACGCTGATGGGTACAAGGTCACTGAGAACAGCTTGCATTGGACATCTTTCGATGTCACAGCAACGTGTGCGGATCGCTTCTACGGGCACGCCCACGTCAAGATTTGCACCAAGCCTGATATGATCTACTACCTTTCAGGCTGCGTCAGGAACTTAGATGACGGTTCCCGAAGTCGCAGGTCAATCTCTAAAAAGCTGTTGCTGCATGCTTCTGTGCTGAGACCCGCGTGGTTACCTGCAAGACACCGTCAGACACCCTGGGCTACCATGTCAAGGAGTCCAACCTTGCCGCTTGGCCAATGCGGACGGAGCTGTTGCGGCAGTAGCGGTAGCGGTCGTTGCTGTCGTCAACTCGATGTACTTGCGGCAGGGGAAGTAGTCACGTCAAAACGGTGCAAGACTCCGCAAGCTGTTGCCATCCATTTGTGGTTCGCCTCGCCCAGTGTTGCTCTGGAGGTTTGGGGCCGACAGGCTCAGGTTAAACGCACGGTGCTGTAGGCCAGATGAGGCTTGGTTCGCGGGTGGCAGATTTGTGCGAGGTGATTGAGAAACCAAGGACACTCACCAGTGGGATGTGACAGCATCATGCAGCTGAGCTGAAATTAAGCTGTCGAGTGCACGCCTGGTGCTTGTTGCCGTCGACAGCCAGAAATGGGAGTTGTACCCTTCCCATCTAAATCAGTGGCAGCGAGGTGCTCCGAAGTTCCACGGCACCGCGAAGGCGGACTTGGATTGCTCTGATGTCTTATGTCCCGTGCTGTTTACTGCTGCTTAACGAGGTTCTGCTGTGTTCTGCTGCTACGGTTATTATGCCATATGCTCCACGACATTAGCGCTCGCTGTGTGAAAACCTTACTCTTCTGTTGGCCATGTAGGTTCCGCGTGTGCTAGACATGCGAGAGATGAGGAAAAAGCACAGAGAACCCTAAATCCAAAGCATCAAGCTGGAGGCATGAGGAGCTCCGGCTCCTTTATTGCTTTTACGACAGCGTATGCCTTACCTATGTCATCGGGTTCTCCTCTGTTCCGGCCCTCAGGTCGAAGATCGCGGCAGTTTCGTGAGAATCGAAAGAGTGGATGTCTTCTGGGAGAAAGCCTGTAGACCATCCCCCGATTGTATCGCTAATTGTGTACTATTTCGCATGGGTTCAGATCTCACGCGCAAATCGCTGTAAAGCCCGACCCTGCCGTGCATGTAAGTCGTCGTTGCAATCCATAAAACTTCAATTCCTGCTGGTTCCTGTCAGGTGACAGAGTGCGATGAGGACACGTACCCTTACAGCCTCGCCGGCTGCCAGCCGGACACATGCGGAAGCCTCAACGACGTCCTGAAGCGGTCAGAAGTAGAAAACTGCCCTGGTGATCCCTGTCGACATTTCGTTGCAAGAGGCACTGGTCCATCGGATACCACCGGCTACAAATACACTGCGAAGTCCCTTGCGATGCAACTCGGACAGAGAAGCTCGGAGGTCCAGCTGTGTTTCAGAATTTGAGTTTCTGGGCTCGTGGTCTTGGTGAATCCTGGTGAGTGAGTGAATGCATTAAGCGCAGATTGTGTTTCTCCAAAGTAAAGCCAATGGCTTGACTACCGCGCAAGCGCTAGTTCCGGATGCTGCGCAATGAGATCGGGCAGCCAGCAGCACACACGGCGAGTCTTTGCAGTAAGTTCACTGAAAGGCAGGCGCTGAGGCCTCCCACGTCCTAGCGACAAGAATCTGTCAGGCACAACTTCGATGTGTCGGTGGAGTGTGCAGATGGCTATGAGGGCGATCCTGCGGCCGCCGTTTGTGAGGGCCATGGTCAAGTCTTCACGATTGATTCTCGGCATGAGCCTCTGATACCGCATCTTGGGCGGGATTGGGGCTCGGGTCAGCGGGTTTAGGCGGGGACTCGATTTCTGGCTGAGAACATCAATGGTTGAAAAGTAGACCCGAGCGTGCTTGTTCACGCTTCACGCAGCATGGGAGAGGCAGAATGGGGGCGAGTTTGCCAAGGATGGATGCCACACCACAACTACCACATCTACAACTACAACTACCACTACTACTACCACTACAACCTCTACTTCCACCACAACGACGACGACTACAACTTCGACCACCACAAGCACTACCACCAGCACTAGCACCACAACAACGACGACTACCACATCTACCACAACCTCCACGACCACAACAACGATTACAACAACCACGACCACAACCACAACCACCAGCACGACAACCACTACCACCACGACTTCGACAACCACAACAACGACCACTACGTCTACAACTACCATCACCACAACCACCACCACAACCACCAGCACCACTACCACTACATCGACGATCACAACCACCACTACCACGACGACCTCGACGACTACAACAACCACAAGCACCACCACGTCTACAACCACGATTACCACAACGTCCACTACGACGACGGTCACGATTCCGAAGCTGGTGTGTTCCGCACCGCTGGATACCACAGGCTTTCGGCAGTGTATTCAACACGTGATCTGTCAGAAGTTCTACAAAGTTTCTGGCTGATGCACAAGACTGTTCAGGCTACCTGATCTCCGAGCACAACTTGATCCAGGAGGAGTTCAAGGTTACAGCAGAATGTTCCCAAGAGTGCTTTGGGCAGCAGTTTGCAGCCGTCCACATGCAGGCACGAGCATGCCAAGTGTGGAGCTTGCAGATGCTCACGCTAAGGTACATCGGCAACCCTTCTGTGGTCACATGCACCGAGGAAGATAGCACCTACAAATTGAAGGGCTGTGAAAAGAAGGTCTTCTGTTATGCACCGACGGTGCTAGGCCAGGTGCTTACCCGCGCGTTGTGCACCCGTGGACTCCTGACTAAGCAGATACGGCAAGGCTATCATGTCGACGAGAAGAGCCTGGTTATGCAAGCCTTCGACGTAACTGCGAAGTGCGCTGATGGCTTCCACGGCTCCGCGAAGGCGCGATTTGATTGGCTGACACTGCCGCAGTTCTCCGACAGAGGCTATGTGCCGCCTGAGGTCACTGCATGCTCCAAGGAGGGCGCATACAGCGTCACTGGCTGCACGGAAAACCTGTGCACAGCGCCGAGCACGGTAGGCAGGACGGCCTATTCCGGTACCGTCGTGTAGCGGGCGGACGGTGAGACTTTGCCAGGTTATGCTGTCAAGGAGGTGGAACTGCGAGAGCACTCCTTCAAGGCCGGTCACGCCCTACTTATGTGCCAAGGCTATCTCTGCTGGCGGCGTAAAGCTTAAACAAAGCACGGAAGCACTAAGAAGCAGAAAGAACAAGAAGACCATGATGTCTGACGATTTCGACGGTGACAGTGATGGCGAGAACGGTGATGATATTGGTGCAAACAGGAATGGCCACGGCGGTCCATCGCTGGTGCTGGGGCCAATGGTGCTATGCCTTGTCGTTGATTTGACTTTAAACTTCGAACCCGAGCAAAACCTAAAGTTAAGCGATGTCTAAGCCCAAGTAAGCACACCAGGCTTCATGATAGATGTTTCTATGAACCGCCTATCCACATTCAACTACCTAAAGACCGAATAAAGCATCAGAACCTACAAGGACCCACGAGTCACAGATGATTCCAAGCCTGACAGACCAACGACTAAATCCTAAACGCCCGCGGAATCGGATCAGTGGGACACATGGAGAGATGAAGCATGAAAGCGAGACACAGAGCAAAGCAACAAGCATGCGACGCAAGTATGCGACCACAAGAAGATGACCGACCCTAGCGAGGGCAAAGCGAAAGCGATAACGGCAGGGTGAATGAGAAGCGATAGGGAATAGAGGCATTGATGGAAAACCAACGTAACGAAACGGGCACAACCCCTAACGATATTGAACATCGAAGCCCTACGTTCATATTTGCATTGTGTGATGGGGGCTTGGCGACATGTAGTTGCTGCGTACAGGGGGGCATGGGCTCCAGTGACAAGCCGTGGGCGGGAACTTACCATCGGCATCGCACTCACTTCCTGTCGTTGTGTCCGTGTGTGTATCGCGTAAGCTGTGTCGGTGTTTGTTTGTGTGTGTGTGCGTGTGACAGAGAGTGCGCGCGTGCGTGACAGCCTATGTCCACACGGGAATGTTTCGCAGCAGGGCATGCCAAGGGATTGATATCAACTTGGGACGCTAAGTTTGACTTAGCTGCGATGTACACAGCACAGCATTCGGAGTGCAGGAGTAAGAGTTGGAATGGGTTCGCGATTGAAATCAGGATCTCCGCTAGCATCGTACGAGGGTTCAGCCTTCCTTCAACAAAGTCTAACAAAGTGTGTTTGAGAGCACATTCTGGCCGTACTTCTAGCGGCTCGACTGCCTCATCCCGTTGGCATGTACTACCAGTTGGCAGAGGGGTTGACACCTTCGTACTTGCCCACTCTGATGAGATGGCAATTAATGGCATTCCGTTTCATCTGCTCTTGAACACGAAGTAACGCAAATCGAAGAAGATATCAGGCAGGGGATGAGAGTGGCTGGCTGCGGCTATGACCTGCGAACTCAACGGGACCGTCTAGCACGCCTGAAAGTCATCTGCAAATCATTTGATAGAAAGACACAGCAGGCAGGAAGATAAAAGTGGCTAAGGCGCTGCTTGTGAAGCTGTCAGACACCGTCTGCTTGCACCGCTCAGAGCTGCAACTCTGTTCTGCAAACTCAATGGGGGCGTGTAGCACCCCTGCAAATCGTCTAGTGACTTGACAAGCATGAACGTGCTTGCAGCTCAGCCTGTGAAACTCGCAGACCCAATGTGTTAAACCCGTCGGGAGCTGCGGTTTTGACCTGCGAACTCGTCGAGACCACGTATCACGCAACAAAGCATAAGATCAGTGATCTTCGGAATATGCCTGCTGTTTCTCTGTTTCTCCAGTCTGACGGGGCAAAGCCAGACAGCAATAATACTCAGTCGTGAGATAGCGTCAGCTCTACAGGGAGACTGGCACCAACCAAGATTGTTTTGCCTTCCTATGGTATCAACCTGAGACGCCAAGTTGACTTAGTTGCGATGTACAGAGCGGGTATACCGGGGAGTGCAAGTGCAGGAGCTTGCATCACTTGGCACGTGTGCGTTAGACGTGTAAGTGTAAGTGTGTGTGTGTGTGTGTCTGTGTGTGTGTCTGTGTCTGTGTCTGTGTCTGTGTGTGTGTGCGTGTGTGTGTGTATCTCTGTCTGTGTGTGTGTGTGTCTCTGTGTGCGTTTGTGTCTGTGTCTGTGTGTGTCTGTGTGTGTGCATGTGTGTCTGTGTCCGTCTGCGTGCGCTTCCGGTTGTTACTTTTTGCTTTTGCCCGTGTCCGTGGTCTCTGGTGGTGGTGCTGGTGGTGGTGGTTTTGGTGTTTATGATGGCAGTGATAGTCACTCTCGCAGGTCACAGCAACTTGCGACACCGGCTATGATGGAACCGCCGTGGTCGAGCCATGCAAAATTCACAAGGGCCGCCGCCTCAGTCTTGGCGGGCTTGCACATCTGCCTATGGCATGGTATAGGCGATATTGCCATGGCCACAGAAGCTAATGAACAACCACGAAATGCGATGTCCAGCTGCACAAGGCCAATACGTCCTCAAGGGCTGCACGAGAGACGAGGTCTTCTGTGTTGCCCCCACCGTCACTCGGTCCCGGATTGCAGAAGGTTGACGTTGGGTGCCTTGCGCAGTGATGTACTGGTAGCTCCGCAAAGACTTGTGATACTAGGTCACCGACGGCTATGACGTGACGGAGACGGATCTCCGAGTGGATGAGTTTGAAGTGAAAGCAAGCTGTGCTTCAGGATACACAGGCAGCTTGGACGACTCTACTTGAGTATGCAGTGGACATCCGCAACATGCCTCTGAAAATCGAAGCCGAGGCAGTGCAAAGGTCACGAAATGCTCAGGTGCTACAGACAAGGCTCGTACGAGAGTGGAACAAAGGGCACCGCGCCTGCTGGAGCGTAAACATGGCATGAGTGGGTGCAGACCCTGGCAGGTTGCGACCTCGTACACCCTCGATGGCTGCACAAGCACAAGCCAGAGAGCGCCCAACCAGAAAATTTTCTGCGTTGCCCCTGCTGCCGCCTGGCAGAAGGAAGACAGCTGAACTGCAGGGCTTCGCTTTGGGAAGCTCCACAGGTTACCGACGGCTACGACGTCACTGAGACAGATCTCAGAGAGCACGTGTTCCAAGTTACGGCCAGATGTGCTGCAGGATACTCTGGCAGCTTGGATGTGAGAGCGAGTGATTTTCAAGCAAGGCCTGCCGTTTTCTGGTCCCCAGCGCTCCGAGCGTTGCCTCTGCAAGCCATACTCAGGCACCGCAAAGGTGTATCGATGCACGGGATCCACAGAAGAGGCATCGGCACAGAGTTGGAAGATTCAAAGCCTGATAGGAAACCAAGGTTGTGATTCGTGATGAACCCTCTTCAGGTGGCCACTTCCTACACTCTCAGTGGGTGCACACGGCGCTAAGCTTGCAACCGTTTGCGCCTCAGCAGTCTGCAACAACAACTCCATACAACTCCGAACACATCGCGGGGTCAGGTGCCTGAAGAGGTCACAAAAGGCGACCCCTCAACTCAGCAGCATGGTCCCGGTCGACCCCATAGCATGTCACATGCAAGGGTGTTAGTTTCCCATCGTCTAAGCTCTCATCCACTTCGGCTTCACATCATGTTCGCCCATCCGGATCTCCCCAGCGCAGACGTGGCTTGCCATTGTCTAAATTGTAAGTTCCTCTTCCCAGAGAGGGCGTCTCTCAAATGAGTCAAATGGTCTTCGTATCCACAACCCCCGTCAGAAGGCGAAACCACATTGTCATCATGTCAAACTCCCGCACTGCAGAGCCGGAGCTTCTCACGTTCACATCTTCACCTCTTCTCTCGCGAAACAAGCCACGATCGCCGTTAATCATGGGACCCCCAACCCTTACAAATGCAAAGCAGGGGAGGCGCTGCCTTCAAATTTGCCGTATCTATCACCCAAGGCATCCGCACTTCAGGGAGCCCAAATCGAATGTCTAGCCCTAGCTCATGAAGGGCTGGGGATCCCCATGCTTCAAGTGCTCACAAAAAGCACCTGCAAAGGCGTTGTTATTTCAAGAGGCCTTGGAAACAGCTCAGCCCAGCATTCTTTTTCCACACATTGGATGACCACGTGCCTACGGATTTCTGCTACTGTTGACGCCACGATGAAGAGGAGGACGCGACACATTCTAAACTGCATTCTGCTCCTGCTGCACGACGACTTTTCTGCCCGGCGACCACTTCGGGATCTCGCAACTGCGAAGCTTTCTGTTACGCATCGTCGTGCTTTCGAACTAAAGTGCAGTTTGCGCCGGGATGCGGCTTATGCCGTAGCAGCTGCAATCCAAGATGCACCGCAACATGTGACGTGTGGCAGGCAGAGTCTCTCCTTTGAGATTGCCAACCACACCCAAGCTCACTACACACTTCTAGTAAGCCCTCTGCTGCATTCCCGATTCCCGATGGAATATAGGAAACCTCACTGCAAGAACTCTTCCGAGAGTCAAGTTATTCTTTCACAATCTAGAATTCATCCCTCGAAATGGACAAGCAACAGATGCTGTTATGAATCTTCAGCCCTCCGCCACTCGCACACAGCTTTTCCCAAAGCACGACGGAGGAGGGATGCAGGGAGGGGGGCAGTCCACCCACAGATCCCCAAAGTTCGGGACAAAATTCCGGTCAACATGTCCAGCATTTCGAAGGTTTGACGGGTCTTTCGGGCGTTTTGTAGCCTACTCCAAATGCAGTGAAGGTCGACCCTGAGGCAATTGACGCTTCTCAACTTAAGGGCTGGGTCAGAAGCGAAAGCATGGCTTGCCAGATTCTTGCTTTTTAAGGGTCGACGTTCTAGTCTGCCACACAGTCAAGTGGTCATGATATCCCTCTGTGCATGCCGTTCAACCCTTTCACTCCCTTGGTGGAGGTCCGTGTCTAGACATCATAATGGTGCTGTATGTGATGTCTTGACGTCTGTCGTGGGTTCGGAGCCTTAACTCGAGCCGATTTCGCTACGCTTGTCGCAGCGCACCCTTTCACTTTCACGCCGGTTCGGGGAGGGAGGAGGAAACGACTTAGGAATGGCATAACAATGTGCAGGAGACGGACGCAGGGGGCGTTAACCTCTCGGACGAGTCTTCCGGAAGTGTTGCGGTTTGCTTGTAGCCTTGCCAGATGTCGAAGGCAGAGACGCCACTGCTTAGTTGCCAAGGTGGACACTGAGTGCTTCAGCGAAGTGTCTGCATCAATGGACAATGATCTGGAATGAAGTTGCAAAGATTACGCAACCCAAAAAGATGCAATGAATACCGAGCTCTTACGGGCCTTCTGAAAGGGTCTGAGGTGCACAGTGAAATCGTTCAAGACTTGATCCGGCGATGCTCGTACTTTGTGCAGCCGTCGTGTGTTAGTACTGCTGCTCAAGTCTTTGAGACATGTTGACACAAGTTTCTTGCGGTACGGACAAGCTGACCACAGCCTTACAGCAACCGCCAAACACAGCAGACTCAACAGCGACTCACATGCGCTTGCAAGACCTTAGGAAAGCCCGAATCTTCAGCAGGCCCCATGCTGGCAGTCTCGAAACCTCGGCCAGTCAAGCAGCGAGTCCTAAAGCGGCAGCCACCTGGCGGTTGCGGTCAGTCGCTACTCGCAGTGGCACGCAACTGTCGGGAGTGCGGGGAACGGCTGACAGCGCTTGAAGGAGCCTTGCACCTATGCCCGGCGATCTTCGAGTGGGCATTCCCAGCTGAAACCCTGGGCAGCGCACCAAGTGCGGAGGGTCGTTGCCGCTTAGTTCGGCTGGGTGCAAATGCTCGGAAGGGTGCAGCGGACGCAAAGCTTGTGGAGCTTTGGGAAAACATCCGCAAAACACAGCTCTCGCACATCTTGGACCTGCCGTCAGCGGAGCAATTGGCAAGCAAGAGTGCCATTATCTTGCTCGCTTTGCGTGGTAAGGATGTTCTTGCACTGCTGAGTGCAGAGCGCATCACGGCAGACAAGCTCGGTCCACCTTCCTTGGCATCGAGCACGACGCCAGCGAAGCAGATGTTGCAGAGTCAGAAGACTGAGTCTCTTCTTGGTGTGGCAGTGCTCTGGACACGACGCCGGGAGCGGCGACGGGGCCTGGCAGTCGCGCTGGTGGACTGCTGGGGGCTCGGCGGTGCGGATGAGAGAGGGGCTGTGAAATGCTGTGTTGCGAGCTGTAACTGCAGGTGCGCGCCAGCTGCTCGCTCCCAGCAGCCGGGTGGCTTTCTCTCAGCCGACCGAGCTTGGTCAAGCCTTTGCCCAGCAATATGTGCGGAGGAGCTGTTATGCTGTGAAGAAATTCATGGCACGGCGCATAGCGCGCATTGGAAGCTGTCGTGCCAGGATGAGTGACCAGGAAGAGAGCGGCGTCTTGGTCTATGCGCCTGACTTCCCAGCTTGAGCTGCCAGTTCGTGGCTTGGGATACAGTATCGACACTCCCAAGTTGTCATGTACATGCAAACATGTCTCACAGCGTTTAGCTTGCTTTGTAACAGTGATAAGTCAATCACGCCTGATGTTCGAAGCTCATGCAGCATTGCGTGGGAGATTCATAGCTGAATCTAACATTCAGGGGTTTTGCTCCAGTCCACAACTCGAGCACAGAGAGAGAGGATGCCGTGGCGAAGGGGTGCAGGCACGACTTGGGGCAAGTGCTGCTCAGGCAAAACAACAGTCATGCACATGTGAATTTGCGATACATTGGATGGCGCGACGCTTGGAAGATCTTTGTTAACTTGTGCAAGAAGCATTGGCCATCGACCATCATATTTAAAAACAGTTGCGGTGACCAGCATCGTGCAGTTGGAGCTATATTTCAGGGGCTGATGGGACCTGGTTTTCTCCCCGAGATACTTGATCATCAGGAGCTACACTGTGCCATGCACAGTCAACGAATCAGACCTCATCTGCGGTCAGCCGTGCCACTGATACCGCCAATGACCGCCGTTTCGTAGCTGCTCAGTGCTCGTCTGGAAGTGCAAGCCTCATCGCGAAAACAGAGCACGGTACTGTGCAGTTTGGATGCTCCTGGTAGAAGCGAGCTGTAGGAGACACTCAGCACCCCAAGTTACACGGAAACCATCAGAAAGCCATCCCCCAAACCTCGAGACCCTCGCAGTGGTACAAAGATAGGGAGGCTGACTTTCGGCCACATGGCCGACTTTGCGGCACATGTGCGCCTGCCTTGTCAGCCTGTCAGGAAGTGACCCTGTGACATTCGGGATTCCTGCTGCAACCACTTCAGTTCGTCCATGTCGGAAAGGACGCGGCATTCTTTAGTGCCTAATAACTTGGACTGCCTAATACCCTGAGCGTAGTGGAGAGATGCAGCCCGAAGCTCGAATCCCACAGGGGCTTTAAATCCAGGGTTCCCTTTGTTCATCGCCAGGTGCACCTTCCTTCGGAGAGGCCTTTTGAGGAGGAGCTTCAAAGAACTCGGGCCCGAGCCGCTTGGCAGTGCATGAGAAGTTAAAGCAGGATGAGATGGCAGGAGGTTTCTGTAGTTTCGAGGTTTAAGATGTTAGGGGCCATTTCGGCACCCTGCGGACGATGTCTCCGACACCTTTGAACATGTTGCGCGATGCCTTTTCAGGCCAGCCGCAAAGCACGGCGCCATGCATCCTGTTTGTATCTGCCCCGCAACATGGGACTTTGCGAGGACGAGCTTCTCTACACTTGTTTCAGATTGCAGCCTTGCCAACCCTGGCAGGGACCACGCTGAATTTTGCAATGCACATCTGGCAGCTGCCATGGCGCCGCGCAAGAAGCTCATCTTGGCCGCTTACGATTTGAAGGGAGCCATCGATGAGCTTGGACAAGCATCGCAAGACAATGGCTGGTGCATACCTGGCACCGCAGCCACAGCTTATGCATGTTTGGTGGCCGCGCATTTGGGGGAATTTGATGATGATGGTTCGCTGGAGTATTTTCCACAAGTTATGGAGCCAATTTTTCGTCAAGCCACACATGTGGCTGCTGCGTGTGCTGCCTGGTTCCTGTCTGGAGCAGAGACGCTGTACAGACTTGCTCGTTTCCAGGCAATCCAAAGGGATTTTCGGAAAGACAGGTTTACGGTTGCAGCAGCCCTGAGACGAAGTTGCCTTCAACGCAGACTTCGGCGGGAGCCACTTGCTTTGTGTGGGTCAGGAGCCTCGCTAATTGGCAGGTGCGAGTATGAGAGCACAGCAATAGAGACTTTAGAGATGTTTTACAATGCGAGGGGCACTGCTGCCTCGAATGGCGATGTCACACTTTGCAGTCATGTTCCATTGCACGATCTCTCTTCGATGGTTGGGCTGTTTGCGTGGAAGGGCGAGGTCAGCGTGTCAATCTGGGCAGACGGAGTATCAAGAGAAGACTCCATAAGACTGACAACAGCGTGGGTGCGAACGATGCGCCAGCGACGCCATGGCCCGATTCGTGTGTCTCTTACCCTGGAGCAGAACTTCTCCACCCAGCCCAGAAGATATCCAGCCTCATTGCTGCGGAAAATAGCGGTGAACGCTGCCACCAGCACCTTCGTGCTCTTGTGTGAATCTGGTTTTGTCCCTTCCGCCCAACTTGGAAATGATTTGCAGGGTTGGATGATGGCAGGAGTGACCAACCTGCTCCAGGCTGGAGCACTGCTTGTGCTGCCAGCTTTCGAGGTTGAAGCGATTTCGCCGTGGAAGGCCCTGCAGTGCACTGACCTGGAGAAGATGGTGAGGAACAGTACAGCTGCTTCTTATGACAGGCGGCTCTGCCCATTGCGGAAATTTACTTCTTGGCAATGGACTTTTTTGGATGGCCCGACGCAGTCGCGCAGGATACCTAGCTCAGATCTCCTCCTCCCTGGTCTCCTGGCCAAGCCTGAGAACTTGCACTTTCCGCTGGAACTGCATGGCTTAGCCACCTCGGATGACAAGAGTGTGGCCCACCGCCAGAGCTACTGCCAAGGCCTCCCCAAGGGCATCCGGGCGACCTTGGACTATGCAGACGCTCACGGTCTTCCTCTTCTGCAGCTCCCGCGGCACTTCGTGTGGCGCCGGAAGGGCTTCGAGCCGAACACCGCGAAGTGGACAAAGTCCACGGCTGCATGGCAGGAACTTGAAATTGGCCGCGCAGACATCGACCTTGACCTGATGTACGGCCAGTTCCTTCACCGCTTGTGGGCCATGAAAGCTTGGGGCAGCAAGCCACAGCTACCGTCGGCCGAAGGTTTAGAGCCAGTGGAGCATAGAACTCCGAAGGAATGGCTTCGCACACTCAAGATGCCCCCCAGGCTGCATCTGGTCCTTCCAGCCACAAGCATGTTCGGATCTGCTTGGATGGATCGACTTGTGGAGAATTCGCCTTGGCCTGTCCATGTGGTGGCCCTTGGTGCCGAAAGCTTTTGGTCCACGATGCTGCAGGAGATGCCACATGTGCTGTCCTCAGATGTGTTCCAACCCGAGGATGTCGTTATGGTCGTCGATGCCTATGACATGTTCTTCGCCCACTGCGAGCACGACATCATTGCAGAGTATTATCGGCACGGCAAGCCTCTTCTTGTGTCTGCAGAGAAGATTTGTTTCCCAAAGTGGGCACAGTGCCTAAGATGCCACAATGCCATTTGCGAGGCCACGGGATACAGGTACCTGAACAGTGGTGGTGTTTTGGGAACTCCCGCATCGCTGCTGCATGCCTACAGCTGGATGGCCGGTCAAGCTGCAGACCCTCTCCACACTGACAAGATATTGGGGGATGACCAAGGAGCCTGGCATTTCTACCAGCAGACTTTCCCTGAGCGTGTGGCTTTGGAGCACGACCCACGCATTTGGCTCGCTCTACAAGGAACAGACATAACACTTCTGCAAGTGCAGACAACACAGGACCGCTGTGGCATCGTTTCATGGCGTAGCTCCGGGTCCGAGGTGTGTTTTCTGCACGGAAATGGTCGAACAGGCCACCTGTGGCAGTTGGTTCAGCGGGTTGATGCCTCGTGTGGCAGGAAGCCCATGGACGATGATGGAAGGACCGGTGGCCTGAGGGTGTATGATGGCTTTGCATCCGCACGCTTCCAGACCAAACAGGTTGTTGTCAAGTCATCCCAGCAGCACAGACTGTTGAGCAAGCTCTTTCCAGCATGAGGAAAATGGGTGACCTTGCCCTTATCTTGTACGTCCGGTCTACTTGTTGGTTCGTGACGTGCTGGGATCTCGGTGTCCATGTCCATTTGCAGCTACACTATCACTGCCAACTGCCCCACAAAAGGCAGCCGTGTCTATTCCAGGGAGAATGGTGCAAATACCAGATCACGACTGTCCTGACTCTGCTGCGGCAGTGCACAACACGAACATTGAAATGCCTCACGCATTCAATCAAGCTAGCGGGGAAATCATAAAGCACGGCTAATGGACTAGTCGGCCAGCTAACATACAAGTGAATTCATTCGGATGTCAACTCACCCCTTGAACTTCTGGCTTCCCTATGGACTCTATGAACTGAACTCGCGACAGGAAGCATCAATTTAAAGGTTGTAGAGTGCGTCACGGTCGCTAAATCATCAGCCAGCCTGACCCAACCTACCGTGTTCGGTGCAATATGACTCCTATTGTGACTCATATTGCGAGTTATTAAACCTTCATTAACCAATGTATGAGGCCTTGGCTGGAATTGTGGTTGACGCAGCAAGTCAGCAACGTACGTACTTGAGATCCTCCTTGAAGAAGATTGCAAAGGCCTCAGCCAGGAGAGGCTCATGGATTGACATGCTTTGCAGCCAAGGCGTTGGCTCGCAAGGAGAAGTTTGAGCGCGACAAGAAAGTCCTGCAGTATGTGCAGAGCCAGACAGGTCACCGAAGCACTGAAGCGAGGTCTCGTGAAACGGCAACCCGAATCCTCTGATGGAGGCGTGCGAAAAAAGGAGCCTCTTCGAGGAGAGCTGTCACAGCCTCAGATTTGACCCAGCTGCGCCAAGGTGGAAAAGCGTTGTTGGGGGTGTGCGTGAACTGGGCGAGGTCGCAGCTCCACAGTGGATTCTGGAAAACCACTGAGATCAGGCAGCATGGGTTGAGGACCCCGCAAGCTCGAATCCCCACTGCGTGAACAGAGCTTCTGAAGCTTGGGCTGAGTTAGACAACACGGACCATGATAGTCCCCCTCCAAAGAAGACCCCGTAACCCCTCCAGGCGCGACATGTGCGGCCAGACACTGGACTGTTGAGCACATGGTCATACCTGAATGCGCATTTCGTGTGGCAAGTATCACCTGACCACACCCAAAAGATGCCACATGCTGGCGTTCGTGATGTCACAGGGTTTCACATTTGAATGTGTGTTTGTGGAGGTGTACGTAAGTGTGTATGCCTGCATGCATTTGCATGATTTTGCATGTGCGTACATGTACCTACAAAACTTAGAGTCAAGACGCTGCGTAGGACCCAGCGAGGGCAGGCCTAAGGGCATAAGGTTCTTAATCAGGCTGTTATGGAAAATGGCCATCGTGTCTAACCCGGTTCGAAGCCCTGGCTTGAAGCCTGGAGTGGGCTCGTACACTTCAGGGTCTCATATTCGCAGTGTGTGTAGTGACTAGTGCAAGTTGTGGCGCAAGGGTATGGTTTGCAAATTTGAACGTGCAGCGCTTCTGAGAACAGCACGCAGCGCAGTATCCACTCGTTTCAATGCCCGGCCAGCTCTCCCTCAAACACAGCGTGCACCTGCAGTTTTGGCATGTTTTCGCTTGGTTCAATGCAGTTTGTTGCTGCGTGCGAAGGGTCTCGTGCTCATTGAAACCCAGAACCCCATGGGTCGACTTCCGCAAATCTGGGAATGTAGGCTTCGACAATGCGGAGAGCGGACTTCACACGGACTTCGCAGATTGCAAGCTGCGACTAACCATCGCCCATGCCAATCTCATGTGCAGGTACAGGAATGCACGTCTGCATTCCCTTCCACCCGTGCTCTATAGCTTCGTTGGCATGGCTAAAAGCACAAGCGCCATGCCCCCTGCTGCAACAACGACACTTTCGACAATGACTAACCCTTAGTTTCAGGGATGACACACACAGAGATCCCTTTCCGAGGAAAGGGGGAACAAAGGACTTTTCTCATTTCTGCGTCAGCACATGTTGAACCAGTTTAAGCATGGAAGAACAGACGTTTTTTGGGACCAGGTTTTTCCTTTACAAGACGGTCACCATGTTTGTTCAAGAAATCCAGCATCAATTGAGCTCTATTTGGTAAAAAGAAATCGTCGCCTAGAACGCTGGTTTGTTGCATCCTCCGGCGGACCTGTGCTGTAGGGGAGGGTAGGACCTTGATCCTCACCCCGTCTTCGTCTTCATCAATCATGCGCAACTTACGTTTCGGCTTAATGGACGACTTCGGCTTCGACATTGCAAAGCAGGCGAACTGCGAACCAGCTTTGCAAGCCAAGGTGCACATTGAGCTCCATTGCTGACCAAGGTGCAAACTAAGCTCCCAGCCCGACACAACTCAAGCTCACTGCTGCACTACACACTTACCAAGTTTCATCTTCCATCATGCTGGCGACTCAACGAACAGGCTTTTGTCACTGCTCACATCTGACGTTGCAGTTGCTTCAACGCTTGCAGAATCTCGTAGAAGATCAAGATCTGACTCTGAGCGCAATTCAGCAGAATCTGGTGGTAGGTCATGATGAGGCGCGCACAGCAGAAAAGAATCAGAATTGCAATCAGAAGGATGAACATCTGATATGATTTACCACGACACTGGTCAAATAGGCTGCAGTAACCTGGATTGCTTTCTGCCTCCTTTCCTTGCTGGTACTCAGGGACTTTCAACTCAGAAATTGATGTTATTCTGCAAGCAGATCTCATTGCCACAATTCGAAACCGAAGCATAGTTGCGTTAAGACGAGACCGGGCTGGACACACGCATGCCCTTCCAACTGCAACGAATCCTCTGTTGGTTCGTCGCTGTCGTTGGCGTCTTTGTCATCAATTGGTTCGATGACGGCGAGCAAGAAGAGTTACAGAGACAGGCCCGATGAAGTGACGGAGAAAATGAACGTGAAACACCTAATGATTAACGCAAGAGAACAGTGAACGAAAAAAGAGCGTCGGATGGAAATGGCGCGCTACACCAAGCTGTGCAGGTGACCGTTGGCTGGAGACTTCTGCACTGCACCCCAGCCCCCTGCAAAAGGTAAAGATACTGTTCGGAACAGAGGTGGACACACACAAGCCTTATCGGGCGCACTATTTCTCGCAACAGGCACTCGGACGTCATCTCGGACACCTTCTAAGCAAAGCTGAACAGGTGCAAGCTCTCATGTGTTGCTGTTTAAGCATTGCAGGCAATCAGTAATATTGACTGCATGTAAGATGTTGGTGCGTTGGTCCGGCGTTGTCGTTGTCGTCGAATGATTAGATGACGGCGAACAAGAAGAGTTACAGAGACAGGCCCGATTAAGTGACGGAGAAAGTGAAATACCTACTAGTGAACGCAAGAAAACAATGAACAATGAACGCGTCGGATGGAAAGGGCGCAAAACCAACCGTACAAGTGACCGATTGCAGCAAGTTTTTAAGTGTGTCATCTGGATGGGAGATGATGATGGTTGGGGAGCCATGCACATCGAAGCCAAGTGCGCTTGCTGCAAGATTTGCATGCCAAAGCGATCAAAGTCTTGAATGTTGGCAAAATCAGTTCGAGGAGACATCTGACCATCCGTTGCAACACCGCTAGGTTGGCCCGACATGATTGTGATGCACAAAAGGACAACCATCACTTGCAATAGCGCTCGAAAAAAGCACAGCTGAGGCCCAGGCGTTTAATTAATTGCTTTTGCGCAACTCATACAACATCTGCTACAAAATAAGACTACCTGAGAACTACCTGGCTTGAAGGTTAAGATTTCTGTAAAATTTCTGGTCCGACCATCTTCTGTGAAGTCACTGATTGATGTTCGGAGGCCTGTTCTTCACGGATCATTTCAGAATTGCGAATCATCTTTCATGACCTATTTCATCCAAGGAAAGTCAGACATGGAGGGAACTTAGTTACCAAAGGACTGTGGGTGACTGTTGCAGTCATCCAACAGCAAGAACAAAAGTCACGACAACACGAGGGAAGACACGATCACCGAACAGAACCAGCACGATTTTTTCATGGAGATTTATCGTCGCTCATTTTCAAGAGTCGCGAGCTCCGAGAAACTCTTATGAAGTCAGGGTCGTGGAGGCTACCCTCCACTCAGCACGCGCCCGCGAGGGAAGGCGATACTGAATCACACTTGCATGGATCTCATGATCCAGTTGGCAGTCGGACACTCGGCTCCTTCTTTTTTTGCTTTGATGACATAGACGTTACTACTGTTGCTTTTGGCTATCTTGATGTTACTGGTCTCCAGGCTCATCCAACTGCTGGTTGCATTTGCAATCAGACTGCACATGACAGCTAAGAGCTTCAAGAACCTGCAACAACTGTAAGCTGTAAGACATTGAGATTGCAAGCTGCGACTAACCATCGCCCATGCCAATCTCATGTGCAAGTACAGGAATGCACGTCTACATTCCCTTCCACCTGTGCTTCATAGCTTCGTTCGCATGGTTAAGAGCACAAGCGCCATGCCCCGTGCTGCAACAACGACACTTTCGACAATGACTAACCCAGAGCCCCCCCCCATGGTATGCACCCGAAATCCTCGTGAGTGTCGTCACTGTTGTCTCAAAAGTGCTAACAGTCACAGGAATGGGCATGGGATGGGCCCCCCGAACCGGGGATCTTCGTGAGTGTTGTGCTTTCGAAGCTATGCAGCTTCATGGCGTGTCCAAAGTGGCGACTCTGCGACATTCACCTGACCTGGATGGGCCATGGTTTCGGTTTGTGCCGCGCCCAGCTGCTGACCCCTGAACCGCAAATACACCTAAACCCTAAACAACCAACCCCACGACCCACAACGGCGCGCAGGTGCAAACCCTAAACCCTGAACCCAACACGTAGCACCACACCACAGGGAGGGGGGAAGGGGGTTGAACATTCAACCTGAAACCCACAACCCACCACCACAGCACACCACACCACACCACAGGGGCCCACGGGATAGCGGGGAAGGCGGTTACACACTACACCTGAAACCCACAACCCACAACCACAGCGCACCACACCAAACCACACCACATGGGCCACATGGGAGGAGAGGGGGGGGCTAAATAACCCAAAACCCACCACCACACGAGGGGGTTGAACAACGCAAACCCACCACCACACCAAGCTACCACCACAGCACACCACACCACACTGCTTGGGCCAGGGGCTAAATGACCAAAAACCCACCACCACAAGGTTAAACAACCCAAACCCACCACACCACACCACAGCCGGCGCGGCGGAGAACACAGGAGGGCACGCGCGCACCACACCACAGGCCACAGAGGGTCCGGGAGAATCAACATGTGGGGGCGTAAGGGAGGATAACCAAGGGGGAGGGGGGGCAACACCACACCATATATGTATGTATACTGCGTACACACATGTAAGATGATATGTAAACGTCCGTGTACGCATGCATAGCCATGAATACATGCCTGCCTACCTGTCTACATACATGATCATACCTGCACAGGTGCATATGCCCGTGTTTGTATGCATGCGTGCGATGTCTGTCTGGACATGTTATCGGCTCTGCTCTGCCAGGCGTTGGGTGGAGCTTGACGAGCACACCGGTGTCCTGGTGATTTGGACTCAAAGGCCTCCGAAGGGCCTCGTCTACAAGATCGAGGTGAGGTCGGAAGAGTGTTGTCTGTAGTTGAGGAAGAAAAATAAGCATGATCGTGGTCATGCTCGCAGCCAGATTCTACACCATGCTTGATACCATGCATGACGGCGATGACTGGTAAGCGCAATATGAATAAATGATAATGAGAGTGAGTGCTTTCACAGCAGACACATGAATGGAAGCTGCACATAATTTGGAATTCGACAGTTCTTTTGTTCAGTTCAGTTTCCGCTTGAAGGAGCTTCATGCGCGGAAGACGTGGTCCTTGTGTAACAGAGGGAAGCAGGACAAAGCAATTCCGATTGGTGGCATGGCTGAATCAGCCTCTGCAGGAATCACTCGAGAATGCTTATCGTGATGCTATGTGATGCACGTTGTTCGGAAGAAATTCGGAAACGGCACTGTGTTGCTGAGGTGTGTATGACATGAAGGATCTTCAGGACGTGGACGCCTGCAAGCCATACTTGAGCATCTTCGTTCACTTCCGGAGGTGGGTCTGCAGCGCACACGCAGTGAGCAGCAGCCCGGCGACTCTGTTGTGTAGTCAGAACAACATATTGCTACGTCGGCCAGGAAAGGCCTTATCTTGATTGCTCCTGGTGAGGAGGACCGCTCTTGCTGCATGAGTGCCTGTCGCAAGAGCAGGGGGCCAAATACGCTAAGAGCTTCCACGATAGCGGCCCGCCATTTCTGGGAAGGAATTCGAGCACTGGCTGAATGCCTTGGGCCACTTCGTGCCCGACTTAGACTTGCACGATTTCCATACTCCTGCGGGTCAAGTGGCCTCTGCTAGGTCGGCGTGAGCAGTAGCACCTTCAAGTGGAAGCAGACGCAGACAGGACCTGGAAAAGCCTAGATACAAGCACTTTGTGAATAGCCTCAGTGCCTGAGGACCTGCAGGATGACAGATGTAGGCGGCAAGGCGGCCAACGAGCATGGACTGGACAGCGAGTTCAGAAATGCTCTTGCACCTGGACACTGGAAGATGGGATTATGTACAGTTGCAAAGTGTCTGGCACATTGCAAAGCAATGTTCCAGCAAGCTTGAGGCTACTGATGCTGCCGTGAATGGCGAGTGCTTACACTGTGGTGCTGTACAGCTTCACTGTGTATAGGTCGTGTTGCAGGAATACCTGTACTCTCGAATGTAGCTCCTCTTCATGGGTCACCACAACACAGGAACCGGGTAAGCAAACCAAGGAACTGCATCGTCGAGTTTAGGTAGGAACAGGCCGGTATCATCGAGTACCCAAAAGGACTTAGGATTTCGAGAGTGCCTTGCAGGTCCCTGTGGCTACAGCAGGACAGTACCATTGCGCCGATGAGAATCGCAAGGACGCCCTCCAACCGATAGGTTCTTATTCAGCCATTCACTAAGTGTGCAATTATTGAGCCCCTTCTTGCCCAGACTGGGCATGCACAGCGGCCGGCTTAAGAGTTGTGCGTTCCGATCAGCTGAAGCCGCTTACACGTTTGGAACCAGCAAGATGCAAAGGACTCATGTTGCCGGGAGCTTCTGGCAACGTTTGCTGCTTATTTTTCGCGCAACTTTGAAATCATTACTAGTTAACCACGCTTCTGAAGACATTGCCCGGGAAGCCATCACTCCAACATTAAAGCTTCGTCTTTCACCACTCACCTGCAAGCTCAATCGGGCCTTTGGGTTTGAGACTTTGGGACTCACCTCTTCCAGGTCGAAGGCTCGGATTCGAGTTTTGAGGGCCTGAACTGGTTGAAAACTCGGTAGACCCTGGTGACCCTGCATCGGTCCACTCGCGTGCGCATACCCGCCTCGAAGCTCGGAGAAAGCACGACAGAGAGAGAGACAGAGACATGGAGCAAGCAAGTGATAACTCTCCATTTGCGGGAATGAACCCAGTAAAGTCTTGTGCTCTTAATGCGATGCAGTTCCAAGCTCTTCTACCTGGTGTCCCAAAAGCAAACGCTGGGGTGTTTGTACGGCTAGACCGAACATTCGATAAACCAGTCGCTTGGCCAGTGCGGTCCGATGCACTGCCGGACAGTGCCGGGCAAAATGTTCCTGCGCATCTTGTCGGCGGCCCTGGTGCCCGTGCATGCTGTCACCAGTTCTGCATGCGATACAAGCATTTTTCCTTCATGTGATGTGGGCTTGCCTGTCGGGAAGGATGCACCAGCACCCTTGACTAACAACAGCTTCTTCAAAGCTGTGCGCCGCTCTACGACGGCCAAGGCCAGAACAAGTACACGAGAACTCAACGAGTTTGAGTTGCCAGTCAGCCTTCACGGGGCGGACACCCCCGTTCTCGCCTTAAGCGGGTGTGGGGACGTATTGCATGATGCAAGCGTTGCCGTTGGAATCGGTGGCAGAATACAGTGTGTCCTCGAGCTTGAGCGATTATTCGAAGTTCGCTACTATGCTCCAGAGTGGAGCGTCTTCAACAGTAGCTGGCGCAAGGCCCTTGAGACCGTGCGCGATCGATGCGAGTGCCACCCAGGACCATGCCCAACAAGCTTTGCTTACGGTGTCTTGGTTGGATTCGGAGGAACAGACCTTCGTGGCTCTCCAGCCCCGCGGTGGTTGCCAACGGTGGTTGAGTCTGTTTTTTCTGTCAGAGAGTGGCGCAATGTGAATCACCACGAGGCTCATGCCTTGATGGGATACTTTTCGTCCCCGTTCCGATCTGCGTTCATCTTGTCTTACGATGGTGGTGGGAATGACGGTTACTTCAATGCCTTCGTTGCCGAAGGACAAGAAGTCACCCGCATTGCTCGCAGGTCCATGAACATGGCAATGTCGTATGCGATGCTTGGAGGTTTGCTACCCGAAGTCACAGGCACGCCGGAAACTACTTCGTGGGTGTGCCGAGTGCTGGAAGAGAGCTCAGATGATTGGATTAAGACAAAGTTTTCCTTCCGCTGGAATCTCTATCACATCCTCTCCTTTGCTGGGAAACTCATGGGCTACTCTGGTGTAGCACAGCCTTCCACCGAACTTGGCCCTTTGATACGAGAGCTTTACATCAAGAAGTCGAAGAAAGACAACAGACTGCCCAGGGCCATGTTGGCTAAGGTATGCGAATCAGAAGAGGGTCAACGTGTGGTAGCGGCAACTGCTCAAACCGAATTTCATAGCTTGGTCCGTGACATCATCGAGCATGATTTCCTCGGCAAGTTACACGCGAATGGAATCAATGTTGAAGGGATTGTGCTTACTGGCGGGTGTGCGTTAAATGTGCTGGCTAACCAGCTTGTTAGAGATACCCTCACGGAAGTACGGTCGCAGCAGCCCGACTTCATGAAGCCACGAGATGTCTATGTGCCCCCAGCTCCGAATGATGCTGGCTTGGCAGTGGGGGCGATTTGGGCAATCGCACCGCCAACAGGTGCACGCCAGCCACTTCAGTATTTAGGTTTCCGGCTTTGGGACATTGATAACCTCGCGGCGGAGGCCGCCCGAAGGGGAGCAATAAAGTTGTCGACTTTGGGTGGTGTCGAATACCTAGCAGAGCTTCTCGCGGGTGGCCCAGCATGGTCATCGGCGCAGCAAGCGAGTGATGAAAATCCCCCCAAGGAGAAGCCTATCATTGCAGTGGTCCGGGGTCGACAGGAGTTTGGGCCCCGAGCCTTGGGCCACAGGTCGCTCCTGGCTGTCCCCGACGCAGCCATGCGCGACAGGATGAACAGGTTGAAATTTCGGCAGTGGTATAGGCCTGTCGCACCCATGATCGCAGAAGAAGCTTTGGAAGAAGTCTTCGGCTTTAAGTACACCTCCCCGTACATGGAGTTTGCACCGAATGTGCGGAAGGAGGTACGGGAAAGATTCCCAGGGCTAAGCCACTTCGATGGAACCGCCCGTCATCAGTCAGTAAGCCAAGCGGATGAGCCGTGGATTCATGCGCTGCTTCTGGCCGTGGGGCGACGGACCGGGCTTGCCGTGCTCATGAACACGAGCTTCAATTCCAAGGGAAAGCCGATCACAAACACTGTCAAGGAGTCGCTCGCGATGTTGGACGAGCTGGAAGATCTGGATTACGTCGTCATCGAGGATTTTCTCTTTCCTGCGAAGCATGGTCGTCGCTCCTAATTGTCGCGGACGGCCCAAAGTTGGCATTTGACGACTGTCGTAAAAAGCATGGCACCATGTTGCACGGCACTGAATCGTCTCTTGTTGCAAGAGCCGGAAACCTGCACCCCAGACGGCTTCAAATATATCCCGAGAAAACTATCTACGCAGAAATTGACATTTCCCCCAACTACCCGAAAAGACCAAGCGGTAGCGGTACGCAGTCCTGCGCGTGGAGACTTGCAGCACTCCGCTGGCACCCTTTTCGTTTACATCTGCATGAAAGGCGGCCATGAACAGAGCCTGGAGCTGGCAGGATGACGACGACGACAAAGACTGTAACTGCTTGATGTGTGACTCAGCTTCATTTCCTTCATCTGCCAATTCATCATCGCTCCGTAGAGGTGCATGTGTGTGTGCATGTGTGTGTGCATGTGTGTGTGTGTGTGTGTGTGTGTGTGTGTGTGTGTGTGTGTGTGTGTGTGTGTGTGTGTGTGTGTGTGTGTGTGTGTGTGTGTGTGTGTGTGTGTGTGTGTGTGTGTGTGTGTGTGTGTGTGTGTGGTGGTGTGTGTGTGTGTGTGTGTGTGTGTGTGTGTGTGTGTGTGTGTGTGTGTGTGTGTGTGTGTGTGTGTGTGTGTGTGTGTGTGTGTGTGTGTGTGTGTGTGTGTGTGTGTGTGTGTGTGTGTGTGTGTGTGCGTGCACGTGTCTTTCTCTCTCTATCTCTCATATCATTCGTGCTTGTGCGTGTGGGTGTGTGGGTGTGTGTGTGTGTGTGTGTGTGTCTCCGCATGTCTCTAGGTGGTTGTGGCTGGGTGTGAGCGGGGTGGATGCACGACTCTGGACATAGCTACATGCTTCTTAGATGATATTAAATGCGGCCAAGGTCCAAGGTACGTGTGCACAGAAGGGCCGGCCGGTGACCGGACACCGCCGTTCAGGGAACGATCCCCGTCGTGCATGAAAAGTTTGTTCAGCGTGGCGCCGCCGTACTCCTGCATTACACTGTCTCTCGGGGAGTTTGCTGCCCCACCCTGTTTCGTGCTACAAAACTCCGGAGCAAGCACTATGTAATTCATGCTTCAACGATGTTTAACACTCCAATGGCTTTTCTCGTTTGCAGCCGCACCCTTTTTAGCTGCACCTGAATGTTGCGCCGGACGTCACTGCTTGACAAGCGATCGCCCGTGCCTGGTCTCGCTTCGGCCGCGCGAACGCAAGCACCACTGAATGCCCACTTACAGAGTGGCGTCCCAATCGATCCTGAGAAAATAACGGCGGGACGGCCCAAACAAATCAACTGCGTCAAACTCACACACTACTGGAGCCCACATGCTGACACAACGCTCAAGCATGTCAAACTTGACGAGATGCTGCAACCTGCGAACATCAACCAGACCAGAAGCAAGGGCAATAACACCACCAGCACGAAGATGATGCCAAATCCAAAGCCGTTGGCTCGTACACTCGCGCAACCAACCGTCGAAAGCACGCGAAGATGAACGAACAAGTAGCAGCAACCCAATTAGGAGAGAGCTCTCTTCAACCGAGCATGGGCGAGTGTGCCAACTAAGCGAGTAGCAAGCATCACATCAAGATGATTGTTGCGCCCTGCACAACCAAGGAGGCGACGAGAGCCAAACTGAAAAGCAGCCCAAACCTTTTTAAACATGTGCAGGGTAGGCCATCTATCGCCCGCAAATACAGCTCAAACACAAAGGGCATGCCTGTGAAGGACCAGTGCAGCCAGCCCAACACCCCCACGAAGGCAAGCCATGAGTTCAAAAATGACAAGTTATCCAACGCTTCCCTTGAACGAGGCATAACCAACGATGGAAGGCAACAAAGTTCACAGCCTAGTCT